AAAGATGAAATGGTTCAAAGATTGGAAGGTAATAATAGTGTATTAATTTTAACTAAGTGTAATTACATATGACTGTTTGTACCTTCTCTAATGGAATTGTGTTTTTGTAGAGCAACTTCTCTATTCTCCCCAAGATGAAAAGATGATTTTCAAATCCTGGAAGAGTCGCACTACAAAGCGACTAAGATAGATGTACACTGAGGCTCGTCAAGACCCTTCTATTGGGGTACGGATGAGTTCAAAAGTCTCTCCGTAAAGAACAAGACAAACAGGGAATCTAATAAGGAGGTCACTGTATATTGGTGGGTCTACGACTTTGGCTGGCACTAAGGCGAACTTAGTATGTGATTTTAAAATTCAATTACTCTATCTATAATTTCATATTTGAGATTGTGATTTATTTCGAATTGAAGGAGAAGTCGTTGAAAAGGCCACCTACAATTGGAGAGTTGTTTAAGGAGACACACACTCGCAGGCAAGACAAAAATCTGTGGGTTGATACACGATCTCAGGCCACATATGTAAGTCATTAATATATTGATACTATATGTTATTATTAGTGATTTATTAAATAGTTCTCCAAACTAATATCTAATTATCTGAACTGAACTATAGGATGATTATGTTCAAAGGCTTGAGGAGACATTTTCTCAGAATCCAGAGTCACTAGATGGGGATGCTATGTGGTCACAGATAGTGGGTAGCCTTTATAAAGGTCACATTTATGGCATGGGGGGCCGCTTTGCAGACTCCATGTCCCCTGCATCTGTCACTGGAGATACCCCTTCTCTTGCACCTGAGGAAGTGGAGGACATGGTCCGCACTCAGGTCCATGCCCTCAATGAAGAACTCCAGAAGCAGGATGAGGAGATGTGGAAGAGCAAGGAAAGTACATAGAAGAAGAAGTGGGCAAAGAAAATGGAGAAGAAGATAGAAAAGAAGGTGGCATCGAGAATGCAAAGGGAGGTTCAGCAGCAGATGAAGCAACAGCATATGCAGATGCAGCAAATGCATGCTTATTTTGAGTTCATGAGAGCAAGCATCTCCACACCTCTTCCTCCTCCTCTACCAGCTCCAGCATCACCAGTTTTCACCTCCATGCATCATTCCTCTTCCGACTCCTCATCTACTGATGATGATGCTCCTTCGGTTGATGATCATATAGATTATTCATGATGAATACTTGTATTTTATTTTTAAATGTATTTATTTGGATGCTTTTGTCTTCCTTTGTAATAACATTTAAATTTTATATTTTATAAATCATTTTTAAATGTTTATATGCCTAATTTATAGTTGTTATTATGTTTATAAATTGTGATAATCAAGAACAATCAGAAATAACTATCTATATAAATAAAAAATACTAATAATAGTAAAATATATTACAGACGGATTTTTTCGTCTGTAACTCATAAACGGATTTTTCCGTCTGTAGATTTTTTTGTCTGTAAGTTACAGACAGCTGTTTCCGTCTGTAATTTATAGATGAATTTTGAAATCCGTCTGTAATTCTTTACCGACAACGATATCACAAACGGTTTATGTCCGTCTCTAAATCCTTCTATAATTTCAAAAATCATCTGTAATGATTTAAAAATCTGTCTGTATATACAGACTTTTTAGTAGTGGTACTCGTACCCTAGTTTTTGAAAAAGTAGCATATCCCCGTACCTGTATCGTACCCATATCCATCCAACGTAGTCCCTCTTATTATTCAACCCTTGATATGGGACATATATCACAGTTTCTCCACTTAGTCAACAAATTAGCAAGAAAAGGACAAAATCCCCTTCTTCCGACTCAAAAAAACTATAAATATTTTTTAGTGACAAATTAACTAAGAAATTTAGATTCATTCTAGAATAGAAAAAAGATTAGATTCGAATAGAATAAATAGAGAGATAGGATATAAGTGGGTAGCGGGAATCTAACCCGCATCGTTAGCTTGGAAGGCTAGGGGTTATAGTCGACGTTGATTCATCGTTATGATTTAACGTCTCTAATTCAAAGTCGAACGTGAAACATTTGTTTCATTCGGCTCCTTTATGGAAGAAATTAAGAGATGGAAGACATGAAAAAAAAAATTGACCCATAACATCTATGTCAACCTTTTTGTTTTGTAGAAATACATGTGAAACACCTTGCTTTTTAGATGATCCCTATAGAATAGGAGTATTATAACAATCTGTGTGTGTGTTTTTTTTTTTTTCTAGTTATTTTGTTCTCTATTTCTATTTGAGAGAATCTTTAGGAAAAGAATAAAATTTCCGTAGAGCTAAAAAAATATGTTGATGTCTCTAGTAAACTAAAAAAATCGTTTAACAGCTATTTTGTTTCAATCTCTACAATACAAAAAAAATGAAAGATTTAGTTACGATTAGAAATAAGTTTTCTATATCTTTCTCCATGGATCCTTTACGCATACTCAAAAAATTCAGATTATTGATCCAATTCCAAAAACGTTCTATGGTTCCTTCCTCAGTCCCTCCCACATTCTGTGGTGTGAAGTGGCAAATTGAGCGAAATGTCGCACCAATTCCAATGTCCCCAACAATATCTCAAGCGCTCACCGTTCCATTATTTCTGTTATTCTTCATCCTCCCCAAATACAACATGCGTCTACTTCGTATATTCATATCCCGTTAGCCATCTTTCTATTCAAAATATCAACCTTTTTGCCATTCTTTAAATGCAATGACTTGCAATTAATGCAGTTGTCTCAAATGTAAGAAATTTTTGGTAGAGGATGTGTGAAGTTAAGAATCCCTACATATGGCTATTGCAATTTATAGGCCTCTTGGCCCTTATTGTTATGTGCCTATGGATGTCCTTACAACCCAAGAGCCCCTCCTACACTGATGTGCTCCTCTCCATAGAACGGTCCTCTAACTCGAATTTAGGGTACAATGAGATTTACTTCAAGGGTATGGTAAAGCACCTGAAGTCGGGAGTGAGTAGGCCTCTGTTGAAGGATGGTGTGCATGAGGATTATGTGTACTAAAAGTTGGGGTGAAAGACGGAAAAGTTGTAATCAAGAGCGAAGGATTTGAGGGATGAGTCAATGCTTTTCCTTTTCTTCTTTGTTAGATTTGAGTGAATTGTTGTATCCTCCTCCATTGATGGGTTTCTTTCTACTGGGAAGTTAGTTTTCATATTAACTTAGTGTTTTATTTAAATCCCTAGATGGAGGTAGTGATGAGGCGTGGGGAGGAAAAAAGGGTTGGGATTAGGGTGGAGCGGTTACGGAAAGTGAAGAGGGAGAGAAGGGGTAAGAAAATAAAAAAGAGAAAAGAGAATGAGATTTATTTGCAAATATAAAAAATATAATTAAGAATTTATTTGTAAATATTAATTTTAAATAATAATAAAATTTAAAAAATTAACATGGCATACCATATGGATAATGATTGAAGCTCAACATTTAACAGAAGAAGGGTTAATGTCAGGAATCAATTCCTAAATTACCAACTTTAGGCTAACAAAGATATCTGCAAGGACTAATAACAAAATAACTCATATTTATAGGGATCAAAAACATAATTAAGTCATAAAATTAAATATGCATAAAAATATTGAATTAAGACTTAAAACTCATATTTTTAATAATTTTTAATTAATAAATAAAAGTATGTTAAAAAAATACGTTAAAGAGTGCCTAATTAAGATTTCTTTAATCATAAATTGTCATAATTATTTTAAAAAACATATTTACAGCTATTTAAAAAGGTTTTAATTAAAAGATACGGATAGTATAAAAATGTTTTACATTACTATTTAAGTATTGTTATTGTTATATTATTAATAATTATTAACTTTTAATAATTAGTTTAAAATTATATTTATTGTATATTCTAATTACTTGAAACGATTACAGTAGTAATATATTGAAATTAAAATATTTTTAATTAATTGATAATATAAAAAAATATTAATAATATATCAAAATTAAATTTAAACAATCACTTTTTTTCATGAAATATATCTCCTCCTTGTCAAAGAATAGAGAATAACACAAATTAAAATTTTATAAATTCATAATATATATTCGTAGTATAATTTAAGATTAAACTTATTTTTTATATTATTCTTTTATCGTAATCTTTTTTTATTATATTTAGTATCAACTAATGAGAATGTGGTACTTTAACGAGAATGTTTTAAATTTTCGTGTTTTCAATCTCAAACTGTTATTTATTTTTTGTATTTTTAATAGAATTTTAATATTTATTATAATTAATATATTTTTTAAATTATTAATCACATTAACAGTTTTTTTTTTCACTCACATCACATATTATTTTTTCTGTGCTAGCGGTTATTAAATGAATGGTATTTCCTTTCGTACTCCTAAGTTTGAGGAGGAAAGTAATATTATTATTTTAATTAATTTATAATTTATTTTATTGAAAGAAATTTTTTAATATTTATTTATTATAGAAAGGTTCTTAAAAAAATAAATTTTAAATTAAAAGATCATTTAATAACAATGCATAAATACATTTAAAATAAGTAAATATATTTTTTAAAATATTTTAAATATAAAATTAATTCATAATTTTAGGGAGAACATTAAATTACTTCTTAACAGTCAATGTACCGTAAGTTTTACCTAAATTATTAGTGAGATAATGTGAGAAATATAAAATAAAGTGTGACTATTTAATTATGCAAATTTTAATTATTTTTTTACTCATTTTATGAACATATTGAATATTATTCTAACTTCGTTACTATTTACCTAGAAAGAAAAGAGTTTTAAAAAAAATACTGTAAGAATTAATTGTTAAATTTATTATTTTACTCTATATACTGATAAAAAAAATAACGATGTTGTTTTAAATTTTCAAATAAACAGATAAATAAGAACAACTATTTTTCTAAATTAACAAAATAAGAGCTAAAATAATATCTTACGAGGTAAATCATTCTATAATAAAATAACGTTCATAACTAAAATAATATCTTACAAGTTATTACAAGTTATTAAACTAGTTAGCTTAGTGAATCACAATCTCCGTTCCATTGTTGTGTTCCAAATTTCGAAGTAGACGAGTCATTGCTTCTGAAGGTCGAGTAACCTTCACTTTTCTTAAGGCAGTTAAAGAACAGAGTTCAATGGGAAGATCATACAAACTATCACACTCATCGATGACTAGGCTTTGGAGGCATGGCATTGCATCATTGGATAATCTCCAATTTCGGACTTCCAACTTTCTCATTTGAAACAATTGTAGTTGTGGAAACATGCCAGCATCGCAATTAAGGTCAAAGGAATCCCAAAATCCAAATACTCCTCCAGATAGTTTCAAAATTCGGAGCTTGGTGAGATTTCCCAAAACATGCATCCCGTCATCGTTCATGTAAGTAATACCTATTAATGTTAATTTGGTGATGTTTGGAGGAAATGCAACTGCACACGTAGGAAGATCAAAGACATTGGAAATTTTTAATGTTGTCAATTGACTCAACAACTTTAGGCTTTGTAACAGTTCCTGCGGCTTAAAACCGGTATCCCGTTCCATGCTACCATGTTGTGAAGGATCTGAACTTGTCAAATCCTTCGCTTGAAGGCTAATCTTAAGCTTACTCAGATGTCCTAACTGTTGTAAGCTTTGCAATAGTTTGGACAATTTAACCTTGTGGTTTGAGGAGATTTGTAACCCCAAATTTTTAAGATTGGGGAGCCTTCCTTTCTCTATCAAAGACGCTGCTTTTTGGTTGAGTCTAATAGCAGAGATGGTTTGGAGATTCCACATAACTTCATCTGATCCTGAACAACGCCCACTTAAGATGATGGGCCCATTTGTATACAAATGCCTTAAATGCTTAAGCTTCCACATTTCACAAGGGAAAGAAATCGGGATACGTAATATCCAATTTCCCAAGTCTAAAGTTTGCAGATTCCGAAGGTTAAGTATAGAAGCTGGAATGATTCTAACAAACTTTGAGTCTATTCTCAAGTACCTTAAGTGGATTAAGTCCCCTAAGTTGGAAGGGATACTTCTGCAGCAGTTCATTCCAAGATCGAATACTCGAACCAATGTGAAGCCTTTGAAAAGCCATTTTCTTTCCCTAGGTGTAAAATAATGGAATGAGCCAAAGCAGACCAAAGAACGGACACACGAATGGTCGTTGTTGCTTGAAGAAATGTAGTGATCCATGCTACAGTGGATGGACAGTCTACGAGGTTTTGTTGAAATTAGAATGTTATTATCCGTGCAAACTTCAAAACCCTTGTCTTCTTTGCTCTCAGATATGCAAAGATCCCGTAGAAGGTCGTGGATGCGACATGTTTTGACACCTCCACTAGTCTTCACTCGTGCTACTTGGATCAAACTACGATCAATGAGCTCATACAAGTAGTCTTCCGCAACATCATCAAGATCTCTACTTCCAGTTTCTTGTATAAATCCTTCAGCCACCCACCTTTCCAGCAGTGGCCTAACAGGGATTTCAAAGTCTTCAGGGAATATCGAAAGATACAAGAAGCATGGCTTTAATCTTCTTGGCAAGTTGTCGTAGCTGAGTTTGAGAACTATGTCTTTGACTTGGGTCTCGTCCTGTGTAAGATACCAGTTGACATGGCCAACCACTTTGGACCATTCTCTGTATGACTTTTCCTTGTTGGCTAGTAGCCCTGCCAATACAACAATTGAGAGTGGCAAACCACGACAACTTTGAACTATCTGTTTGCCTAGAGGCTCTAGTTCAAAAGGGTACTCTTCTCCCTTAAAAACTTTCTTGCAGAAGAGCTCCCAACTTTCTTCTTCACTAAGAAATCGGAGGCAATAAGGAGGATCATGGCCAGTGTGTGAGGCCACCTCTTTCAAACGACTAGTGATCAATATTCTGCTGCCTCGATTTTCATCAGGAAAAGCCTCTTGTATCTCATCCCAATCTTGCTTTTTCCACAAGTCATCGAGGACAAGCAAATACTTTTTCCTCTTCAAGCATTCTCTCACCATTTCCTTTAGCTCATCCTCACTCAAACTAGAAATGTCTCGAGGGTGTCTCTTACCCTTCTTGTTGCTTTTATACTCATTTTCAGGCATGAAATGCTTTATAAGGCCAAGCAAAAGCTCCCTAGCTCTACACTCATTTGAGACATAAACCCACGCGCGACAACTAAAGAATCGTTTTACCTCGTTGCTGTTATAGACCTTTCGAGCAAGAGTGGTCTTGCCCAACCCTCCCATGCCAATGATGGAGACAACGTTACGTCGCGAACCACCTTGCACAAGGCGCTTGATGATTACCTTAGAGTCGTGAACAAAACCCACTACATCTTCCTCTTCCACTTTTCTTCTTCGCTTGTGCAATGAAAGTGCCCTTTCCTTCTCTTCTTCTCTTATGGTTTGATCACTCTCTTGGAAGTCGTTGTATTTGGTCTTGTTCTCGCATATCTGGTTGATGGTGTTTTTTATCTTGTCTACTTTCTGGGCTACATTGCGGAGCAACCTTGAGTGGTCAACGCCGTGGAGCATCCTCCCCACCATGCTTCTCCTTTGGTGCATGGCGACTTTGGAAACAAATGTGTCGATGACATCCTCAGCTACGTGGGCAACATCTCTGATTTGGTTGACCACTTTTTGTTCCATCTCCGTCTTGCTATTTGAGGTTTTGAGAAACGCGTTGATCATTTCGAGCTCGATGTGGAGGGACTTGATTCTGTCCTCTACGCCACACAGCAAACTTGCTTCTTGTGCCACCAGCTGGGACAAGTGTTCTAAAACAAAGGAAACCACGCTATCAGCCATTGCTGCAGGGATGTGTGTGTGTGTGTGAATGGATTTGTGCTTAGAAACTGGCGTTTAGGGTTGGTGATAGTGAGGAGGGATCATTGGTAAAGCCATGAGAGTTTTTTTTTTACCTTAAAATGTAATGCATTAAAAACTATATAATAATATAAATATTATATTTTATTAATAAAATGTTATTATTTATTAATTTTTGGATTGGAGCCGGCAATCACATAGGATGGAATCGAAAATAGCAAGGAAGCTTCAAAGAAATAATCACACTAAAACATCATAAATGTTATTTTAACACCACTTTGGATGTCTACATCATACGGCCAGTATTTTTGGGTGTTAAAATATTTTATTTTTATTTTATGTTATTTTTTACTATATTATTATTACTTAAATTCTTTTATACATAAAATAATTTTTAAAAAATATTTTAAAACAAAAAAAATACTGATATAAGATGGGAATACTGATATAAACCCCCATCTTAGACGTAATTTAGCACTGCTGCTAAAACACTCACCCACACATTCCTTGCACCTTCCGCTAGTGTGGGCAGGTCTTCTGTATACCCTTTTTTGCATTGACTCTGCGTCAACCATAAAGCTCAGTTGCACCTTCTGCTAGTTTGCCTTATCTATACCTTTTTTTTTTTTTTTTGTCTTCGAAGTTTCCTAAATTCTTTGATTAAAAAATATGGTTTCTTAGGAAATTCTCAAGTAACGCTATAGGATTTATTGTTGACTTTTTTTATGTATTTTTGAACTTTAACTACTTAAGTTTAAAACGAATAAATTTTAAGAAAAAATTGGTTTGAACTAAAAAGTTTAGTCTCTTAATTTATTAAGGGAGCTGGTTGATGCAAAATTTATATATTTAGTGAAATTTATGACACAACTTGATTGATTATATTAAGAGAAAAAAAATAATTAATACAAAAATGCTAGCAACATATTTTTTTACAGTTGGCTAAAATTTATTAAAAATTTAAAAAGTATGAAAAAGAAATATTAATTTAAAAGTGAGACTAATATAATTTTTATAATTAAATTTTATTCAATGATAAAAGTGTATTATAAAAAGTATATTACTAACGTTATTTTAATTGATATAGATAAAATGTCACACACTTATCACAAATGTACTATATAAAAAAAATGATGATTTGAATTTTTGTCATTGATATTATAAAAAAAAGTGTATTAAACTGGGAGTGTATTGCTAACATTTCTCAAATAATTAATATACTTAAAAAGTTACGCAAATTAATTCAAGGTCGATCCAACAATTGAAGCCAAATGGTGAAATCTAATCCCACCATAGATAACCGATTGCGGTCACGAAATTTAGTGCACCCTCTCAACATTGGACAGGCACCGTAGTGCCAAAATCACCTCGATCACAATACTCCAACACGAACAAATACCCCAGCTATCAGTGCCACATTAGGCACGGATACTCCAACGAGGCCAAAGACCTACATGATTAGACCATGCAGGTAAGCAAATATTTACAAGGTTTGTCTTAGCCGTCAGCATAAATCATGCGTCAAACCATCAATTATCAGAGTTTAGCCACAAAAATCTCGTGAAAAATGTCCTATCCTATCAAGAAAATTTCTGACACACAGTATTAGTCCAAGGACTAAATGCAGTGTCATGATGGGGGGACCAAAACTCAAGAAAATCAACGCCTATTCAAGGAAGAGAGCACAAGTGCACAACGACGCAGTGTAGTTTGGACTAAAAAATTTAGTATCTTAATTTATTGGAGAAGTCTGCTACAAAAATTGAGTATATATTTAGGGAGAATTTTACTTTTGGAGGAGAGTCATAGCTTCTCCGTATTATTAAAGTGCTATGTCCTTGGCAATGCCATTGAGCATCCTTCTCCTTTGGTGCATGGTGACTTTGGCAACCAATGTCTCAATGACATCCTCGTGGCCTGGGCGACATCTCTGATTTGTTTAACCACTTTTTGTTCCATCTCCTTCTTGCTCTTTTAGGTTTTAGGAACCAGCTTGGACAAGTGTTCTAAAACAAAAGAAACCACGGTATCGATGATTATTACAGGGATATGCTTAGAAACTGACTTTTTGAGTTGGTATTTCGTTGCACCTTCCGCTAGTGTAGTCCAGTTCGTTTATTTTATTTTTATTTCTATTTTTGCATTGACTCTGCGACAACCATATAATTCAGTTGCAGTTGCATCTTCCACTTCTGGATTACCCATATCTTTTTGTTTGCGTCTTCGAAGTTTCCTAAATTTCTTGATTGAAATAAAAGGCCTCTTAGGAAATTCTCACACAACCTTTATGGGAAGGGAATCCCTTTATGTATAAAGGAATTTATAGTTCCGCAACTGCAAGTAACGTCTTCCAAACCTTTGCCCTTCCTCCAAAATGATATTTTTGCTTACAATTGTATCCAGGATGAAATATCGTCCGTCACGTTTGTTCCTATCCTTGTGTTCTTTCTGATACATTGTGTCCCTATAATGCAGTGTGTAAAAAAAAGGAGTTTCCGCGTTTCACCTATACCCACCCAAATCAACGAAAAAGCCTAAGGGGTGCAATAATTCATGAACAAAACCAGTAACTTTATTCAGCACAAATGAAATCAGGACAAAGTATTTATGTTCATTCATTAGATACAAAACCAAGAATGTTCCGAGGTTCTACAAATACCCACCCCACCAGATAAGTAGATTGTTCTGTAAAGTTGTACACAGCTCAGCTTGAATGAAAATACACAAACATTCCACCACAAATATCCTGCTAGACTTGTTTGGTCCTCCATAAAATTCCACTGAAAATCCTGAAGGACTGCTCTTAGTTATCTGCAAAAAGTATAATTACAGGATTCAGCTAATTGATGTTTACAAGCTGAAACTTTACCTGAATTGAATCTCATTCTCACCATGTGGAGATTGAGAGTTTGTTGCAGAGAAGTCAGAAGATGACATAGGAATGGATATCGAGAGTTGAGTTGTGGAGAAGGCTGTTTGGTTGGATCTCTCATCTTCCAGACCAGACCATGACTCTCTGCTATTAGGCCATTCGTTAAAGAAAGGTCGAAGAGACTGGCCCTCCTGCTTCACATGTTCTCCTGACCCATATTCACTGGATAAAAATGAATGCTGGGGATAATCACTCTGCAACATGGAATTACTACTTGATTTTGATGTAGAGAAAGAGGCAATACTTGTTGACATCAAGGGCCATGTGCTTTCCAGCTGTGACTCCATTTGGAGAACCTTGTTGCTTCCTGAAGCTTCAGAAAAGATGCTATGTTCACCACCCTCAGATTTAAGTCCTTGAAGATACCTGTTAAATTCAAGTAAAATTACCCACAGTTCAAGGGTAAGGAATAACGACATTGCTAACATTCTAGAGTCATATTTAATGAACTTTGTCACTAAAATGGAACAAAGTGCCTTATTGGCAAGATTCATAGTACAAATCAAACAATCACGATGATGATTATATGACATCAACAATAAAAAAAATTGAAGTAGGCAAGAAGCAGTAAACTAAACAAGGTCAACAATGCTATCCTAGCTACAAATGTACTGTTATTGAATGAAATTAAAGCTTTTGAGGTTTCATTATTTAGAATAAACTCGCCACATTGGAATATATGTGGTGAAAGCAATGATGCATTAAAGTTCAAACTTCTCAAGAGTGCTATGACATCTCTGATGTCAATCAGTGACTGGAGTATCCCAAACAATTTTGGATAGACCGCTATAGTCAAAAGTTAGAATAAATTCTAAGGCTTTTCTTTTGTCCCGTTTCCCCCACAAACCTGTCAGCAGAGCTTTATCAATTTGATATTTAACTGTAATGTCATATAAATATTCTGAGGAATATAATTTTTTTGTCTTATAATTATAATCTGCAGCTCATCATAAAAGAACAAAGTAATATGGTGGGTTTTTTTGCCAAAATAAAGCAAATTTAGGAACAATTTACCAAAATAGGATATCTAAGAAACATATTCTCTATCTAGTGTTTCTTTTTGCCACATCACTCTAAGTATCGCACTTGTAGGATGCGATACTGAATTTTTTATATCTAAGAAACATATTCTCTATCTAGTGTTTCTTTTTGCCACATCACTCTAAGTATCGCACTTGTAGAATGCGATACTGAATTTTTTAATAAAAAAAATAAGTATCACCTCCTGCTAAGGCAATACTAACTTTGCGTATGCGCCAAAAATAATAGCTTATAAACCCCTTAGTCCACGGTTCACTTTCTAAAATTATGATACACCTTTTTGAAAACCAGACACCAATCATCAAATAAAGTCTCAAACTTTTCTCTCTCCTCCCTCTTCCCACGCCTACTACAACTGCTGCTCAATTTTGTGGCGCACGCTAAGCCTTCATCTTCTCATCATGCCAACAGCTAGCTTTCTCTGTCCCACTGTTTGAACTTTCTTGGGCACTCTTCGACTCCTCCTCTATCCCTTCCATTTATATCATTTTCTTCCCCTTGTTTACAACCATACCCATCAAACAATTCATGTAAAGTTTCCAATTCTTTTACCTTCTTCCCCTTCTCCACCTTCATGGGTCTTTCTCCAATTTCCCTCACAAAGCTTTGTATGAGTTTTCACTATTTTGGGTCATTCTAGGTTCCCCAAAGGCCTCACCTTTAGGGCTATAAAAGCTTCATTTTGAATATATGGTTACATATTTTGACTTGTTTTGTGAGAGATTTCTTAAAAAATAAGCTATTATTTTTTGTTTTTGATGCACCTGTGTAGAGTTAGTATAGCCTCCTGCAGACGCAATACTTTTTTTTTATTATTAAAATTAAGTATTGCACCTGCATACTTGTTTTTCTCTTTTTATAAGTGCCATACTTAGAGTGACATGACAAACAACCTGAGACAAGAAATATGTTTCTTAGATATCCTATTTTGGTAAATTGTTTCAAAATTTGGCCTATTTTGGCAAAAAATAGCCAAATATGGCATTATGGCACAGAACAAAATTCACAGCTATATTTAACAGTGCATGAAGAAAAAGTGCCAGATACCCAAACAAGTATTGAAGGAAATGCAACCTTTCTATCCAAAGGAAAATTAGAAGCCATAAAGTCAGTGTGCACCTTTCTCATCATCCCCATGTGACAGATATTGGAGATGGATGGCAGAGCACATTATTAGCATGCTAAAATGTTTCTCAACATTTCACTAAAAAAAAAGCTTCACGGTGCAATTCACATTTCAGGAATAAATCAACACAAAAAAACGAAAAACAGAATGCAATTAAAGGATCATCTCTTTTCTCACATCTTGTCAAAGTACCCAACAAGCTGTAATTTGGAGACGATTATGATTCATTAAGGTCACCTAGTTCTAGTTCCTATCTCACATATCAGAGCATCACCCAACACTAGAAACAAGAACGTAAAACAGCAACCAGACATAAACAAAACAAGAGTTTGGGATTTAATGAAGGACTAGAATTCCCCACCCCTTCAACATTGAAAAAATACAGAGGCCGAAGCAAAGCAAGGTAGCCAACAGCTCTATTCTTTCTTTTTACAACATAAAAAAAGATGTAGATACTTCTGCGTTGCATAGCATTCTCACTATCCACATAACAGAAATTTATCCTCACAGTAATTAAGGGGAAAATTTTGCAGCAAATTCAGATGAAAATATTAAAACTCAAGAACATCAAGAAGTAAATGCAATTCCATTAAATATGCCAAGCAATGTAACTTCATTCTTATTTAAAGATAGATTTTCTGTTCTATTTTTAGAAGCAGAAGTATTTTCCAAATTCCAAGCAAACAACTGGTGCAAAATAAGGATTTTTATACCTGTATTCTTTATTTGGAATCCCATAGGGAATGGAATCTAGGTGATAATTGGAATGGTCAGTTCCAGAATCAGTACCCTGGAGATTACCAAAGGCATTTGTGGGAAGATTCTGGAAGCTTCCCGTTCCACTGCTGGCACCAGTGACAGTCAGTGATGTCACAGTTGAAGATGACTGTGTCATAGTTTGTGATTCCACAGGCTTTCTTGAACGGTTGCGGCCACGGTGCATGTGGCGCTCGCAGTACTTGGAGTCTGGGTAGGCTTCCTTGGAGCACCTCCACTTTTTCCCATCAGTCCTCCTGCATCGTCCTGGCTCTGGGTCCACCTTCTTCCCATAAAAGGAACAATAACTCACTGAAAATTACATGCAAAGTTAGTTAAGCACCACAGCTACTTTACCACTAACATTCCAAACACACCTCAGGCCTTAACGAATACGAGAAGAGACATACATTCATTAGGCCACAATAAAGGCAAAAGAAAAGTATACATAGCCAATGGATTAAAAAGTTCAGAACTGAACAGCAATACTATTAAGCATAGAAAGCTAGAGAAAAGGAAAAATTACAAATCTATGTCTCTCTCAATAATCTCAACCACAAAGGCAAAACCAAATCTGCATGAAAATATGCAGAAAATGATTGCAAATCCATTTAGATAGTGTTTTTAATTGCAGAAAATTAAAAGAAAACCCTCAAAAAATGGAGAGATAAATTCTCTTGACAATACATCCAACAAGCTTCACATATCCCTACCATAGGCTCATTGGTTCTTTCAGTGACAAAGGATTTTATCAATAAGCACTCTTTAGGGTTGAAAGAAAAGCATTGCTGTTACTTTACCAAAAATGTCATCTTTACTAGCGGCTACAGGGGGGAGCAAAAAATACTTAATATTTAGGAAATAGGTAAACATTACTAAAACTAGTTCCTATTTCCTAATACACAGAAATAGAAAGGCAGAAAGAAAAGAAATCGAGGGGATTTGAGAACTCACAAGTGGGATGGTGAAAAAATCCCGGTGAAATAGAGTCGAAGCTCTTCTGAATGGGAAGCACAAGATCAGGAGGCACAGGAAGACCCGCAACCATGTACTTGAAGATCAAAGCTTGGTGCTCCAGTTCCTGCCACTGAGACACTGTGAAAGGTGACCTGCTATAACTATTACTGAAACCCATCATCATCCCTCCACCACTGCTATTCATGTTTTCCACTACTTGTACTACTCTTAGTCCTACCAATCATACAACACTCTTCTTCACCATCAAAATCAAACATAGTCAGACCCAAGACATAAGATCACACTCAGATCGAACTTTGTCGGAACATTTCGGTTTCCTCTGTTTCTTTCTTTGTGACACAATGCCGTCTGGATTGTGTCTGGATGGCGATGCTCAAGTTAAAGTAAACCGGCATTCAATGTTCAACACATCCCTAAGTATTCACTGCTTCTAATTTCATCTCTTAGGAGTATTTATTTATTTAGTTAGTTACGACTTTATATGACTTCTTCATGTTTGTGTGTTTGACTATCTTTTTATAAATATTTAATAAATAGTATTTTTTTTTAAATTCATTAATATTTGAAAAATAAATAGATAATAGCATTAAATGAATTAAATTGAAACAATGTTTCTATATGGTAAAATAAATTGCACAAACTTTATATGAATTGGTGAAATTAATTTTAAAAAATAAAAAATTGTAAATTTATAGAAAGTAATGAAATAATGATATTTTGCACAGCATCTGTCACATTTCCTGTGATTTAGTATTTTATTAATTAAAATATAAAATTAAAGTGAATAATTAAATCACTATCTTTTATAAAGTATATTTTCTTTATTTTATATTATTTATTTTTAAGGAATATATTCTTTTAAAAAATATTAATTACACATATTATTATAATAAAATAATTCTCTTTGAATTAGCAAAAAAATTAATTCTCTAGGGTAAATTTATTTGTATTAAAAGATTTAAAATATGATTATGAAACTATTTAAATATTTAAACAAGATATTAAGAAAAAATATTGTTGGAAAAATTCCTAAATCCTAAATTTTTAAAATAATAAATATTCTCAAACAAAAATAAAATATTAAAAAAGAGGAAGAGAGTAATATTTTCCTCATTTTTTAAGGCTTGCTTTCATTTACTCGGATGCTCTACTTTATTATGCTACCCTTTAACGGACAGCAACAACACGTGATGGGCTGGAGTAACGCTGGGCCCAGTGGCCCAAAGCACCAAGTGACAGAGATATTTTTGAATTGGCCACCGCTGAAGGAAACCATCCACTAGTTGCCGGAATGCAGGTAACATTCGATGTGGGGCTCATAGTTATTGAGATTGGCAAAAACAAAATCGTAAATGACCAAAATGTGGTCCACAACAACGCAAATGCGTGCAATTCCAGTTTTAGGCTTCTCGGTTTTGTATCATTGCCTATGTACCCTGTAACTGTAGCTGCAGGCACTGTATTATCGTGGATGAATGAGTGAACCAACGGACGAACTCAACTAACTTTCCATAACTCATGGTCAAGGATGGTTTAATTATTCAAATTTCATTGGTTGGTAACCCATACTTCATCATTCATGGACCACACCTGTAGACCCTCTATTGAATTGAACTTAGCCCCTTTATCGTTCTTTGTGTTTGTGTGTTTGGCTTCAGTTGTCTTGGAAGGGACATGCTTTACAAACAGATCCTACAACATCCACTGATACCATTCATCAAGAAATGTACATTGCCTTTACATGTATTTGCCAAAGAGGCGACAGGGGATGAAAATAAGTCATCTAATATGACTAGTTTCTGCCTTTTGTGGTCTCCCTAATGTTACAAAACACAATACAGAACATGAAGGTAAAATGCGAACATGTTCAAGCCATGTTGCACCATAGCTTCCTCGCATATGAAAACAAAAATCTCAAGTTTATGCAGGTTTGAAGGGGGTTTTGCAAGGCTGCCTAAACTTATAAATACACAATGATTTAGTTTATCGTTCAAATATTAATTTATACACTTTTTAATTAAAAAATATATGGTTGAAATATATTTTATCCTAACATTTATATTAAATTTTACTTAAATTTAAATCAAAACACTCGAAGTCAATAGACAATACAATTTACAGAATATATTTTTGCCCCAACTTTAATCATTTTGACTTTTTGAGTGTTGATTTTAAGTTTCTTGTGCTTATCTTGGATCTATTCCACGTGTAGGTTCTTGCTGGTATTTTTTTTACTATTTGTTCTAATAAATATTAAGAGGTGCATAATAAAATTTAAATACAACAAAATAATAAAAAGAAACACATAATAATGGTTTGCGCCATTTCATCTCTAACTTTTTAATCATTGTCTGTTACTAAAGAATTTCTATTCACCAACAACAGAGAATAAACAAGGAAACACCTCCATCAATCTTGTCTTAGACCACTTTTCTATTCAAAATCGAGTTGCATTTCCTATATCAATTTGTCTAACAGTACACGCATCAAACCATCCACCTACTTGTTGCATACCTAAAACAAATCCTTCCACCACCAAGAGGCTTGTACATCCACAAAATCAGACTTTAGAATATTAATAAATGGTTCATACCTCACACATAAAATAGTAGCCCACATAAAGTCGAGATTTGATAGGCCCTACTACACTCATTTATCCCACAAATTGCAATTAAATATTCTCAAATCCTTCATCCCGCAAATCTCCCTCCTTCTTTAGTTTGTAAATTAATGACCATTTGACCCATTAAATTTTGTATTTATCCTTAACTCCACTCCACAAAAAATTCTATTGTGTGCTTATAAACTCCTTAAGTACAACATTTGAAAATTTTCAAAATGATAGATAGTGCAAAGGTATACTATTAAGCACCTCATTTATCAAAGTAACCTGGCCACCAAAGAGATAAACTTATATTTTCAAGATGCAAGTTTACCTCTAAGAATTTTGAGTATCCTAGTTCAAGCCCCATGTCTCCTTGGATTATCTCCCATCTTCAAGCGAGTTGTTCCTCGCTCAAGCGAGAGCGCGCAGGGCTGACGGGTATTTAAAAGATTTTCAGTATGGAAATTTCATTTCATTTCAAAACTCACATTCTTCTATCATTTTATCTGAACTCTCTCTTTCCTATTATAGAAAAAAAGTTTTAAAAACTTTGAAACTACATCAGAGCTTGAACTTCTCGTTTTTACTTCTATCTTCTCTGTTTCATCTTTACTCAAAGAATACTCTTTTCTGTAAGGTGTAGAACTATCTTAGTCCGTGAACTATCCTTTTCTCATTTTCTTCACCAAATTTGTCTTTTAAGGTAAGGAGAGCTCTATCTTGTTACTAAGAAAGTGGTGTATTTGTGTTCATGAAAATGTTGTGATGAAATATTTGATTTTTAAGTATATGTAGGATGAGAACATGTTTTTGTTATGTGTGAAGCATGTGTGTGGTGTTTGATGATGTGTATAGTTCTTATTTTGTGTGTATATGCACGTATGTTATGGACTGAGTCTGAGAGTGACCTACTCTCGACAATAATTAATTGATGTATGAAGTACTAATGAACTAGAATAAAATAGAGAAATGAGATAGGAAATATGAAAAAAGAAATGAAATGAGAAAGGAATACGATAAGGATGAGTATGGATAGTTCAGAGGTACATTGGGTAGTGGATGCTCTTCTTGAGTTGCACAAAACATATGAGAGTAGAAACACCACAAGCCTCACACTCATTTTCTTACTGATACTCCTAACCATGCTTTTGTTAAAAAGGGTCAGGTTGACATACGTATCCGTGTAGCTGCGACTATCCAGGAACTATCTATGCTAAGGAAGACCTCGAGGGATTCCAGGGACAGTGAAAGTGTGAGATGAAAGTTTTAAGTATTAATAGACATAAAATAGAACAAGTTAAATAATTGATAATCTTGTTATATGATGATTTGTAGTATTTTCTTATTTGTATCATTGATTTAATTGTGTATGCATGCTTGATAATAAAAATAGAGACTCATCATTACACAAAGTATGACAATACACCCTATGGAATACTTGAATTATGATAAAACTCTGACAGTATTTGCATTACCTTCTCTTTAAGCAAACCCCAAAAATTTTTAAAGAAAGTAAACTTAAATTCATTCGAACTTAGGCTTTTATTCTCATCACAACCCATGATCATATTACTCACTTCACCTATGGAAAATAGCGCTTCCAAAACTTGACTCTTACCCTCCCTAATAATTGACATATTAATATTCCAAGGTAAGTCTCTTCCACTCTTGCTTGCAAAATGATCTTTAAAATAAGAATAATTTATGTTACATCCTTTAACCACCCACCCTCTATATATAGTGATAGAATTTGATTTCAATTCCACCTACCTTTAATACAAGCATGAAAATAACTTGTATTAAAATCTCTTTCCACCCCTTACTTCTTTCTTGTCTTTTGTGCCAAGAAGCGTTGTTTTTGCCTTCTTTCCTTCCACATCTTCGCCACTAGTTCCTCTTGACACCTTACTTCCTCTTGCTCAAGACCCTGACTCTCACTTTCCGTATCTAAGTCAAGTAAGTCACTTGTAAGCCTTCTTGTATTATTATCAAGATCACCATAAATATTTTTATTTCATTTTTTCAATGCAACTTTGCCACTAATTCCTTCTGACACCTTACTTCCTCTTACTCAAGACCCTAATTCTCACTTTTCATATCTAAGTCATGTAAGTCACTTATAAGCTTTCTTATATTATTATTAAGATCACATGTAAGTCACTTTTCTTATACTCAAGACCTATGCCCCAACCAACAATTATTGGATTTAAATGGTTTAGGGCCCTACTCCACCATCCCGTGTTTCAGAATAATCGGACTATGATCTGACACATCTCTTAGTATCACTTGTACAAGTTCCTCACCCTACATTTGTCACTAGTCTTCATGGGTAAGAACTTTATCTAATCTGCTCATAACACTACCATCACTTCTAATCCACGTGGACCTCCCCCCTCTACCAGAGGCAAATCAATGAGTTCCATCTACTATAAAATTTTTAAACTCCTCCATCTCCTTTGTCTCTGCCTATGAAACTCCACTCTTTTGCTCTTCCTTACTACGTGTAGATAACATTAAAATCACCAACAACACATCATAACTTTCTACCAAATCCTCGTTTTGATAAGCAAATCATCCCACAACTTATGCTTCTCAATTAAACAATGGGGAAAATAGACATTGATAATTTTATATTTCACCCACTGCACACTCCATTCCAAACATACTCTAGCAAATCCTTGCCCACAAAAAGGAGTAAAGTAACATACCTTTTGCATAATTTCATAAAGAAAGAACTTCACCACTTCTATCCACAGCTGGCCATGACACTCAATCAAATTTCGGATCCCCCTATAACTATTGACACAGGCTTCTATCACAAATTTCTATTTTGGTCTCCTAAATCGCAACAAAATCTAGCCCCTCCTGTTGGACCAACTCGACAACTCTCTTCTTTTTAATAGGTCCACCTAGACCCTAATATTGAAAGATCTTGTCTTTATTGTACAACCCTCGTTCTCCTCTAAAATATCGATTACTTCCACATCATATAACCTCAGGCACTTCAAGTTTATTGTCATACATGACCAACCCCAAATTCTTTTTCCAGACTTCATAACCGTTTCTCCAATCCCATTTCCATAGCTTCTACCCCCCACTGAACCCCCAAACCCGAACTGTCTGATTCTAACTTTTTAGTGTCACCATCTTTCTGCATGGAGCTTTGCTGTGATGCTAGTTAGGAAGCTTCACAAACAAAGTCCCAAAAATTTTGACAATTAGAGGTTTCACTATGCAAAAAATGTGAAATGTTCTTACCCCTCGAAATAGACTCATTGACTCCTTTCTTCTTCGAGTTTCCAAAGCAATCTTCACATTAGTCTTTTCCTTGTAATTATAATGTGTCATATTTGAATACTTACATCATACAATAATTTTACCTAACATGTTTGATCAATGAATATAACATTTAAATTATTTTATATTATCTTTATGATTATATATATTAACTTCCACATATTTTAAACATTGTCAGTTTGTTATCCAAAAATTAATATTATATTTTAAAAATATATTATATATTCAAATAAAATAATATGATAAAGTAATCATTTGTTTTATTTTTATATAAATTTTATAAAAATAATATATTTGTTAAAAACTTTTAACATAATAGTTATATTGATTAATTTAACAATTAGTAAAAAGTTATCAAGTTATACAAGTGTTTAAGTTTGATATTTTATGTCAACGAAGTTAATAAATATTTATTAACATCAAGTGTTAAATTTAAATATTAATATTGCTTAATAATTTTATACAATATAAGTGTGACTAATCTAAACAATGAACTTTTATATTTTTTTATAATTATTTATATTAAATTTTACATAATTTAGATATTTATAAATATATTATTTAAAATTTAATATTTATTTATATTTTAAAAACATATGATCCATTAAAATAAAATAATACAAGTACTTTTTTTTATAAAATTTTATAATATTAATTTAATTAATAAGAATTTTCAAACTAATAATTGTATTAATTAATTTTATACTTTATAAAAATATTAAATTGTGTAAATATTTAAGATTAACATATGCAACTATAAAGATATTTTTTCATTTAGGTAGATTAATTAAACAAATTGATTTAAGGATAAATTTTAGAGTTTTTTGTGAGAGTAAGAAAAAACTTTCACTTTTACCACTACTTATTCAAAGAGACTACTTTCAAGTATTTAACATGATTCATTAGTATTCTCAATATTTAATGTAATATTAGCATTTTGTTAGTATCTAATTAAAAAATAAAATGTCCAAAAAATCAAAGACTAAAGTGCAATTTCAAATAATTCAAAATTTATAATGCTTAATCCTATCTATCTTAGGAACTAAAACAAGATCAAAAACTAAAATAAAAATTTATATATTTTTAGTTTGTAAAAAAATAATTTATTAAAAAATGTAAATAAACAAATTATTAATTTTTCCTTTTAAATAACTATTATGAACTCACATTTAATAGTCAACAATGAGTATGATTTATTTTTATTTTTTTACTAACTTTTATTCAACAAGGTTCAAGTCAATCGAAATTGAGTGTATTTTTTTATTCTCTAAATAACTATAATGGGAGGGTTTTTTTTTCTCTAAATAACTATCTTCAACCTAAGAATAGGGATGACAATGGGTAGGGTACTACAGTACCCATTCCCATAACCGCGTTTTAAAAAAATATTCGTACTCGGCCCCATACCCGCGTGGGTATGAACATTGATTCTCGTACCCGTACCCTCTGTGTACTCGCATACCTGTCTTGTACTCATTACCCGCACTTGTTTGAGAAAAAAATATTTATAAAGAAAAATATGTTTATATAACTTCACATAAGTAGCATAATAATGCAAAAATTCAATATATAGTTGCCGACAAAGGTACAAACATAGATAACAAACAAATATTCAAAGATCATAAATATTAAATGTATCTTAATACAATAATTTTCTAAACTAAAATTCTTAGAAACAATAAGCAAAACTAAACACACAAGTTATTTGTCAGTGATAATCCTATCTTGTGTGAGATTTGATTGATTGGTAATGTCAGAGCGACAACGAAATAGATCTGTACAATGGTTGTTCCTTCGTGTAGTATCACTTAATAACTTTTTGTGACGGCATTGACAACTAATTCTAATGAATAACGTTTCATAATTGTTAAGTTTTAGTGAGATAGACATTGAGAATGAGAATAGAGTTAGAGTAAATAAGTTCAATACTAACAACAGAAAGTGGATACATAAAATATTTTTTTTAACTTTTGAATTTGAAATTGTAAGAAAAATAATAGATTTAATTAAAATAATATAATATATATATATATATATATATATATTAATACTAGTATTTTTTAACTCATATACTATACAAAAGTATTTTATCAAAAATATAAATTTTTGAAAAATTATTTTAGTGAATTAAATATTTATAATGTATATAAATTTTAAAAGAAAGAATTTGAATAAAAGATAAATAATTACAATAAAATTTATAATAAAGAAATATACGTGTATATTAAAAAATTATACTTTTTTATCTGAAAAAAATTAACAAATAAAAATTAACATTAATTTTTTATATTTATATCTTTTCAAAAACTTATTTGAATGTGAATAAATAGTAAAAATAATATTATTTAGATTCAATATATTATAGTTGTACTTGTAATACATATGTTGCATAGAAAAATATTATTTTCAATTAAAATATAAAAAATAAAATTTAAACATTATTAATAAATAATAAGTTTACAGTAATAGTAGATGATTGTAAAATTTATAAAATATTGATAATATATTTATTATTTATCATTCACTTTATAATTTAAACATCAATATGATTTTATTAACAAAAATATTTATATAAAAAATATTTTATGTGTATCATATATAAATAATATTTTAAAAAAAGTCAATCTCATATTAATTATGTAATAATTAAATGATATAAAATAGTAAATAATTTTTTTATTAAAAATATAAATCAAAATAAATTTTTTGATTTACTTTATTATTAAATATATTTTTATATTAATCTTATATAACTTCACATAAATAATATAATAATACAAAATTTAATAGATAATTATAAAATAAAGTTCAAGTATATATATATATATATATACGAGTATGGAGCGAAGTAAGTACTTAAATATCCATATCCTCACACATCATCATTAAAATTTGTGAGTTTTTATCCATACTCATACTCATATAATGAATAAATACTCTATTTATTATGGATAAATTTACCTTATTTATCATGAATAAATTTTACAGGTATCGATACTTTACTCTAACATTTATTCAACATTTTTCACCATTGAAAATAAAAAAAATTGTAAAATAAAATAAAATTGACATTGACAAGTGCGAAGGTTAACTTATCCAATTAAATAAATTTTAAAAATTTTCACATCTAATTTTAACAAGTATAAAAAATTAAATATTAATAAAATTAATTATTTATTTTAGTTAAAATTTAATATTATATATATATATATATATTATTTTCCATTTAAATTATATTATTTTGATTTTTTAATTAGGCCAATCACTTGTCCATACGGTTGCTGCTAAACTCTGGGTCTTATGGCACAGTTTAAGTCATTAAAATTACGTCTTCGATAAGCTATCATCTATAAATGGATCAAAACACCATAAAGATACTGTTCATGTTTTTACTAAGTTTGCAATTACAAATTAATATTCTATAACGTAAGCTTTTGTGTTTTATTTTATCTATTTTTCTTATAAATTTATAAAGTAGAATAAGAATATTGAAATAGAATCCTTAGATAATCTTATCAACTGTATTTGAGATATAATAAACTTATTTCTAGCATAATTTTCAAATGAAAAAGCTTTATTTAATAGTTATTAATCGCAGTTATAAAAACTGTTAACAGCAATTTTTAAATAATAAAAAACTTGGTACGATATGTTAAATATTTCTTAAGGACTTGATAATTATATAATATATATATATATATATATATATATAGAAAATTTAAAGCTGATAACAATTCAATTCCTTTTATATTAAAAATAACGACTGCAAGGTGTTCAGAATTGGGTTTTCTGATAGAAAAAAAAAAACTGTATGAACATACGACTCATGAGTCTAAAGAGACACACGAAAACGTCTTAGTCCCAAATTTTTATCGGCAACGTACAGCACTGAAATCGCTATGGAATAAGCAAAACAGAGACTCTAATTTGTTGCCTTTTCATTCGCAAACAAGCATTATATTTCAATAACAAATTAAATAATAAAATGATAAACAGAAGAGAAAACAAAAAAAAGACCACTCAACGTAGAAGAGCATTGTAATTTGATGATATATATAATAATGCCATCGTTCCAAATCAACAGCAAAAATAAGAATATTTTTCATTTTCAATTAGCTAAGAAGGCAAGAAGTAAAAGAAGGCCTCAGATTAAAAAAATGAGTATTCGTCAGAGACATTATAAAGAAAATGTCTCAGATGGTACGGACAAATTGATCATGCATCATAGGCCAGAGAGGAAAACGATAACGCACACAAAGACTACTGATGATGAAACTAAACGCTCAATGATATAAGCTCAAATGGAGGAGAAGAACAGAGAGCCAAGTAGAGTAACTTGTTACGGAGGAAGCTTGCAGTCTTGCGATTAAATAGGCGAAAATGAAATGAAACCCTAATCTTCTTTTCTTGTGAAGTTACGACTGTATCCTTCCTTTTTTGTTTTTCTTAAATTTCCAGGCCCACGTTCTTGGCCCAAATTATATACACATATAAAATATTTGTAAACTATTAATATAAAATAAAAGTTTAATTCATTTAAGTTACTCAATATAATTATAACATTGATTTTATTACTAAAATTAATCGAAATAATAAATTGTTTTCTTTTTGTAAATAAGAAAATAGGTTTATTACTCTTCTTGTAAATAATAAGCTAAAAGTTATATTTAGTAAAATAATGTATAATCTATATTGTGATTTGTAGTTAAAAGTTTATACTTAAATAAATTATTTAAAAAATAAATTGTATAATTTAAAATAATATATAATATTAAAATTAAATATGATTTATTTTAATATATCTTCTTAATAAGAATGATATTATTGATTTAAATAATAAGTTAAAATTTATTAATTTTAATATGTTATATCAATAAAAAATTATATGAACTTATTTAAATAATTTATTTATTTTTAAAGTATTATTTATTTACTTAATTTATTTTTATTTAACAAAGTTGATTATTAATCAATAATTAATAAAATTTTGAAAAAATAATAAAAAAGAAAATACTGTAAATATTAAGAAAATAAAATAAAAATAATATAATTAAAATTTAAATTGTGTAAATAATAAGTTACTTTTTAAAATATGAAATATAAAATTATAATAAAATATTGGTAATTGACTTTAAAAAGTTATAAGTTCATTTTATTTTATATTTGTAAAATAATTTAATTAATTCATTGACCAAGTCGATAAAATATAAATTATATATACATAAATTTAGTATTGAATAATTTATTTACTTTTAAGAAATAGTATTTTTAAAATATTTAAAATTAATATATAAAATGAATTTTTATTTAGTATTGAATAATTTATTTTTTAAAAATAAAAATATATGAAACAAATTTTTATTAATTTTAATTAAATTTCAATAATATTGAATTTTAATATGTTTTGTACACAAATATTTTTTTAAAATAATTCTTATACATATATTATTTTCAATTTAAATCCTAGTCTGATCCATAAAAAATAAAATAAACAATTTTACAGTTAAGAATAATTTATTTTATTTAAAATTTATTATATCTTTTTTAAATCAAAAGAGTTTGATATATTTTTTATATGAGTTTTATTAATTTTAATTTTTAAAGTAAAGAATAAGGAACTAATCATAATAAAATTTTATTAAAAAGATAAATATTTATTATATTTTTATAATTTTAATATAATAAATGTATATTTTTTTATAAAAAAAATTTATTTGTGAACATTTAAACTCAACTTTAAAGTTGAGATTAACAAAAAAAAAATTATATATAAAATGATATTTACTTTTTATTTTATATAAATAAATGATAAATAACAGTAAAATTACTAATAAAGTTAATAATTTAATTAAAAAGACGTTAATCCTCTTTTATTTTAAGATACTTAGATTTATGGGTACCAAGCACCTTCGTATGATACACCAGCTCGTTCGTTTAGTAACATTATCAGAAAAATCGTGACCAAAGTTTACATACGCGTACCAATTGGCCCAAGAAGTGCATCATTTCATGATAATTTTAGAGAGCGTGCTGGTTTCCCAATGGGACTCAAGTGGGTTCCGCGAATGAAGCAGTTACATATGACCTTGTCTCTCGTAAGTCCTTAACGCTGTACTGTTTCTTATTTTTTTCAACTTGAGAAACGCTAACACTGAGATGGGAGTTATTGGCTTTGAAATTAATGGCAATTCTGCTTCTGCATATGTTTTGCATTATGGCGCCAATTCGTTTTCTTCCTATGCGGTTCCTATTTCTTTGAAACCATTTTTTGGTTATGCTTTGAACACGAGGGTTGCAAAGAAGTTTCGGGTCTCTCATGTTCGAAAGCTCAATTGTGGGCCAGTTGTTGTTTCACTGAATAGTGGCTCTAATGCTGGGTTGATTAGTGAGGGGTTGGAATTTAAGCCATCTTTCGACGAATATTTGAAGGCTATGGAATCTGCCAAAACTGTTAGGGGCAAGAAGCATGCTTCTACTACTCAAAAACAGAAGGCGGTGGAAAAAGGTGTTGAAGGGAATTACAATAAAAAATCTACTAGGGTTGGAGAGAAAATTGATAGAAAAGATGGGTTTGAAGGTGCTAAAGATGACGGGGCATTAAGAGCTGATGAACTAGTTGTGTACAAAGAAGGCTCCTCCACTAGTAGTGGTAAGGTCAGAGGAATATCAAATAAAGGATTTCAAAATGAATATGATGGGAAACAAAGCAACCTTGATGTAAAGGCTAAGCAGAGAAACGGGGCAAAGGTAAGACAAGCTGGCTGGTTGAAACACCAGAGTCATAGTTTAGAATGGGAATCTGATGGCTGCAGTGGGATTAAGAATCAAGACCAAAGTGGAAGTGGAAGTGGAAGGATAAGCAAGAACACAGTTAGGTCTAATTTGGATGATAGGGGTGGGAATGTCATAGAGAGGGAAGTGTCTCATCATTTATATTCTTCAAAAATGTCAGAAAATAAAGTTGTTAGTTTCAGACAGAGGGATTACAACACACAGGGAAAAACCCCTAGCGGAGACAAAATTGTGGCTAACCAAAAAGCAATGGATAGAGTACATGGTAGAAAACATACTGAAAGTGGAAGTTTGATGAATATAAATGTACAGTCAAAAGTCAAATTGAATGGAAGCCGCAAGCGTTTCATTGATAGGGGTTATAATTCTGACAGCGTGGAGGTGGACCGAGCAGCATTCAAGAATCTAGAGGACCCTGACAATGTTATCAAAAAGTTGCAATTTTCACATACAGTGATGGAGGAGAGAATCCAAAAGCTAGCCAAATCGTATGGAGTCTATTCTTTCTTCCATGCTTTTGGGACACCTAGAGTTTTTTTTTCCTGCGTCTATAGATTGCTTTCTTCTTAAATTCCTTTGACAGACATTGATTTTCTTAAATAGATATCACAGATATATGGCTGGCAAATGATGCCTCATGTCAACATTTTTCTTTCCTTCCTGCCTTAAGTTGATAATCCAATGGCTATTCTCAATGTGTAATTTTAGTTAGTTTTTTTTTTTTTTACTATTTTAGTCATGATAAAGTGTTTGTTCTTGATCATTTTCTCAAACAGGTTGAATGGTGCAGATATCAATCTACCTGAATGGATGTTTTCTAAGATGATGAGAAGTGCAAGGCTCAAATTTTGTGACTATTCTATAACAAGGGTTATAATCATCTTGGGGACACTTGGAAACTGGCGGCGAGTGATACAGGTCATTGAATGGCTTCAAAAGCGTGAACGTTTCAAGTCCCATAAGCTAAGGTACTTTAATGACCTATGGTACTTAGTACGATTGCTTGAATGACAAGTGATAATCACCCGTATAGATATCTTTAAATGATATTAATCAACCCAACCATTGAAATATGCATAATTATCTTGTTTATCTTTCATGTCAAATTGTAGAAATTTTAAGAAGAGATATATGTGATCAAATTGTGGGTTTAGTTGTTTGTTTGAAACCTATATTATACTTTGATTTTGACATGTATTGGAGGAGAAAACTACCTTTGATTGATTTGAATTTTCGTAAACATGCACTTCCAGTCTAGTGGCAGATTCCCAAAATATTTTTAAAGTTCTATCTCTGGTTAGTCAATGGCCTTTTTCCCTATAAGTAGCCATTAATGCGCAGTATTTGACATTAGGCATATATACACTGCTGCTCTTGATGCACTTGGAAAGTCAAGGAGGCCTGTAGAGGCACTAAATGTATTTCATGCTATGCAGGTAATGCATGTAATCCATGCAATATGATCATTTTTACTGAAACATGTTAATTAACATGATGTGGGAATATGGACAACTTCACTAACACTCTTTCCTTTGCTTCCAGCAACACATGTCCACTTATCCTGATTTAGTAGCGTATCATAGTATTGCTGTTACTCTTGGACAAGCAGGATACATGAAGGAACTCTTTGATGTGATTGATATTATGCAATCACCACCTAAGAAGAAGTTCAAAACAGGGATTTTTGAGAACTGGGACCCAAGACTGGAACCAGATATTGTAATTTATCATGCAGTAAGTTGTTTAAATAAATTAGTTTTAAGAGGTTTTAAGAGGGTTATGAGATAGTTGTTCTACTCATATATTTGGATTTGGAGGCCACTTCTGAATTGAGATAGATGGCTTTGGGCTGGGGTCTGACATTTCATCAGTTTTAATGTGCAAGATAAAGTCCAAAAATATCCTTATGGTTAAATTTATTTGTTATAATGCAATGTTTTCTATAGTTAAAGGGAGAATAGATATTTTAACAATATGAAAAAACCAATTTTATGCAGCTACATCTTTGTTGGTCTTGAAATACTAGTTTTTATTACCAATAAAAAATACTTTTTTTTTGTTCAATGGTTCTTTTTTAAATGAATTTTCATTTTTCTTCTTATCTTTGGGTTGCCATAAGAATGCCCCAAATCAATTTTGTTATTCAAAGTTGTATAGGAGATCAATTCTTTACTTGAATGAGTCATTCTGATAAAAGGCGTCATGGTTGCATATTTTTTGCATGCATAACTTTATGATTTTCTGGAGCATTTATCTATCCTTTATCTACACTATTGTGATTGGATTTCTTATACTTCATACTTGGTGTTGGTTAAACAACTCTTTTGCTTCTCTGCCTTAATGTTTGAAAATAGTTTTCTTTTTTACATTTAAGAGCTTTAGTTGCCCAATTTCATAATTCAGGCTTGATTCAGTATTTATATATTAATTGGGAATGCAGGTCCTTAATGCTTGTGTTAAGCGGAAACAGTGGGAAGGGGCCTTTTGGGTTTTACAGCAGTTAAAGAAGCAAAGCCAACTACCTTCTGCTGCAACTTATGGCCTAGTTATGGAGGTAATAGTTGCCTCTTTTATTATTGATAGGACATTTGAATATTTTACATGTGTCTTGGTAAACAAAACGTTTTAATCAACCTGAGAAGTAAAATTGGATGGTCTTGTTATACTTTTTTTTAATTTAAGAATATTGAAATTCTATTAGAAATATAGAGTACAATGAAGTAGGATACAATATCGCCAAGAACAACAGATCAAACGCAGCATAGAAGAGAAAATATTACATCAACTTAAGAGTAGCTCACTTGCTATACCCTTGGATTTGGAGGAAGTGTTTAATTTTTATTGTGTGGCTGATTGGGAAGAGATGTGATTTTCAATTTTTGCTTCAAAAAAATAGAATAATATATTCCATTAAATTTGATATCTGTACTGGATTTTGGACAAGGTTCTTGCTCCTATTTGAATTGAATTATGCTGAAATTGGAAAACTTTGATTCCATAAAAAAGCACAAATCTACAGAATCATTCGTGTGTATATATGGATGATGGCTTGCACTTAATTCATGAATTTGTGTAATGTTTGAACAGGTGATGTTTTCCTGTGGCAAGTACAACTTGGTGCATGAATTTTTCAGAAAACTTCAGAAGTCTTCCCTTCCCAATTCATTGACATATCGAGGTATTCTCATTTATTTCATATCTATGTCAATTACTTAACTTTGTTATAATCTTGACATTCCTGTTACAGTTCTTGTAAATACACTATGGAAAGAGGGAAAAACGGATGAGGCTATATTGGCTGTCCAAGAGATGGAAAGACGTGGAATTGTAGGTTCTGCTTCTCTTTATTATGATCTAGCTCGATGCCTATGTGCAGCTGGAAGAAGTCACGAGGCACTAAAGCAGGTGCTTTTTTGTTATTCCTATTTTCTCTGTCTGTTACCTTGTAATAGGGTAGGGAGGGAGTAGTAATGGTGATTTCATTTCATTTTCTTTGAGAAAGTGTAAGTGCATTAATAGGTTGATGATGTATTGTTAAATCGTTGCATTTAGGCCAAGTAACTTGCAACTTTTACCTCAAAGCCAGAGAGCTTTTAAAGTCTCAAAAGAACAAAGTATAAGTGTAATTTTGAGAAAGTTTTATGGGAAATGCCGAGAATTTCCTTTATATATTATGCAATGGTTGAAATGGAAGGGTAACAAACTTGCAGTTGGTGAGTGTAGGATAAACTGTGCTACAGCCCCACTTGACTAAGTAACTGTTATGGCATTGTGCACATCCATAGAATTTCTGTAACTCTTCCAACATGCTTAATTGCTTATACCAACCAACACACTCCAAACAGAAAGAATTGTCAGAATGATGGCCATGGTATTTGCACCTCAGGGAAATGTAAAAAAATTCTCTTAAGTTGACCTGAATTGATTGTACTAACATTGTTATCTGTTAATTCTGTGTTGAATAAATTCTTTGGGTTCATTAAGAAGCATCCTGGTGGTTATGAAAATAAGTTAGTTTTAGTATACAAGGATATTTATGTACTTTAAAAGGCTTGATTATCGAAGTTATTACTCATCTTTTGACAGATTGACAAGATATGTAAGGTTGCAAATAAACCACTTGTAGTGACATACACTGGCTTGATGCAAGCAAGTCTAGACTCTGGAAACATTCAAGATGGGGCTTATATTTTTGAGAAAATGAAGGAAATTTGTGCTCCAAATCTGGTTACTTGTAACATAATGCTGAAAGCTTACCTGGAACATGGAATGTTTCAAGAAGCCAAAGCGCTGTTTGAGCAGATGTCAGAAAGCACAAATCATCTGAGGGGAAATACTGATTACAAAATGCTGGTGATACCTGATACATACACATTCAACACCATGTTAGATGCATGCGTTGCAGAGAAGAGGTGGGATTATTTTGATTATGTGTATCAACGGATGCTGTTCCATGGTTACCACTTTAATCCAAAACGTCATCTTCGAATGATATTGGAGGCTTCCAGAGCTGGAAAGGTGATCTTATTCTTTTTGTACATATTAGTTTATGAATGATCCTTTTTGCAATCATGTGAAGAGCATTGTACTTTTGGGCATGGGGTAATTTAGGACATATACTTAGTAAGGTAGTAGTAAATATGATGAAAAGCTTGCTTGGTAAGGCAATCAAGAGGAAGAAAATATAATGGATTTTACATTTTCTCCCTATCCTCTTCAAAAATTTCTCTCTCGTTGTTAGTTTGAATGAGGTGAACTATAAGAATCTAATTGAAATAAATGTTTCATTTAGGGATGTAGTGAATGACCCTACATATATCTATATCTATCTGTATGCATGTATATGTTAAGTTCCTTATTCACTTACATGTTTGTGTTGCTGCCCTGTATTTGTACATGCCATGCCTGGTTCAAAATCTCTGTGCACCATGTCAGCTTGTAGTTGAATTTGTACATTACATATGTTTTGAAATTGTCCCGGTGTATAGCTTGCAACTGTTACAAAATCTTAGTTCTAGGTCTAGCTTTCTTGTTGATACAAACGATATAGAGTGAGAGATGTTAACTAATGAGGAAATCTGAGATCATTTCATTAACTTATGGAACTTTCTAGGAAGGGCCTTTGGAGATAACATGGAAGCACTTGAATGAAACAGACCGAATTCCACCAGCTCCTCTGATCAAGGAGAGGTTCTGTTTGAAGCTTGAGAAAGATGACTATGTTGCTGCTCTCACATGTATAACCAGTAATCCCCCAAATGACTTGCAGCAGTTTTCCAAGTCATCTTGGTTGAATCTTTTCAAAGAAAATTCTCACCGGTTTCAGAAGGATACACTTACTAGACTAATGAATGAGGCCAGCAATATAGTTTCCAATATTAGTTCCCCTAATCCAACACTGGAGTATTTATTGAAGTCATGCAAAGAAATTTTCTTCGCCACTATTAGTGCAGCTGACAGGGATTCAGTGGAAAATGTATTTGCAGTAGACAGTAAATTGATAGCAGCCAACTCTAGATGAACATTTCTATGCACAATTTTGTAATGTATACTCAACCAAATCCAATGAAAGCCGTCTATTAGATGCATTTCATGCAAGTTTACGCGGGAAATACTCCCCCAAATCTCACCCAAACTTTTGCTTTTCGGTTAATGGATTGTAGATAATAATATGTTCTTCTTGTTACTTTATTATTCATGATCAAAAAACCATTTTTAGTTTTCAAAAAAATTTCCCCCATAATTTAAAAATGCTTATGAATTGATTGCTTGTACACAGTATCTTCAGGAGGAAATCTGTATTAATTAATAATTATTGTCCTCACTTATCAGTGAAGTAGAATTGCTAAACGTCAAAATTCTTTTGAGAACATGAGCTAAAGTTTGTGGTATAAAGATAGATGCCTTAGCCAAATCTAGGGATTATTAGAAATGGAATTTTGGGGAGTAATATTTGATTTGGTGAACTTTGGGAACGGACATGTTAGTTAGACATTTTCAAATCTCGAAAAAGAAAACGATGGAATACTGAAGTGGGAATGAAAAATTTAAATGTGGCAAGGAGTATTAGAAGTCTTACAAAAATTTGATTAATAACTTCTAGGTCGAAATGGTAAAGTAGAAGAGTCCACTAAAAGTCTGTCAAAAAATGGGACAATTTATCCTATCCTGATTTTTAAAGCAGATTAAATATTATAGTCCAACCTGTTTAAAGGTGAAAGACAATTTTTTTTAAAATGAAGTTTGAGGACATAAAAAGAATTTAAAATCAATTTATATTTGTGAAAAATATGTAAAAATATTCAAATAACATTTTTATAACAATAACTCATATATAAATATATATTTTATTTATAAACTTTAAAAGGTGAGTTTTATGGATTGATTTGCTTTGTCATTGATCACATTTTGACGGGTCGTCCGTCAGGTATATTATCCTTAGTTTAACTTTTCTGTTTTTTTGGATTGTAACTCATTGGGCTTTATCTATTTAGCTACTTCCAATCAATTGCTTCTTCATAACATGTCTTTTTAAACTTATATAACTTTTTATCAATTACTTACAATTTTAAATTTTTATGATCTATTTTTTTTTTCATAAAATACACATTTTCCAAAATCTAAAGAACTTTGTATAATTGTATGTCCTATAAGCTAGTCATATCCTCATCAACAATTAATGTTATTATTGTTTTTTAAAAGATTTCATAGCCTAATCCTAAAAAGCTTTCACATTATATATATATATATATATATTGGAGGAAAAAAAATGACACGCTCTAAATTATTAATTTTTACCATAAAATATCATAGAAAAATCATGTCATAAGCTCTGAAATTTTCTTTCATTCATGTTCACTCTTTTTTACTCTATTGAGCTGATAACCAAAAGATTTTTCGAAGTCCTCTTAAATTTGTTACCAACTATATAATTAAAAATTTAATTTCATTTTATGTTTATTGTTTTATATTCCTTCACCTCTCTTTTTATCAGAATTTTACTTATTTCACATTAAGTATTATTTATAAAAAAAATATTAATGTTGAATCCACGTAATTGTAGAAAAAAAAAAACTCACATTTGTTTAAATGTATTTATAATATTTAAGCTAAACTAAAATATAGAATTTATCTATGCAAAAAAATGTGTATGCTTGTTTTAAAAATGATTTGCTGCTTTAGTCACATTAATAATATTTATTTAAAATTTTAAATGCACTAACATGTAACTTAATCATATCTGGTTATATGAATAAAAAAAATTTAATTTTTATAATAAATATAAATTATACTTATAATGTATTTTAATTAGCTTGACTGTAATTTTTTTTTTACTAATGCAGCAATTTTTTTTTACTAATAATTTATTAAAAATAAACTCATTTTTGATACCTGAATCTAATATTTTGAAAACAACATACGCTATTCCATTTTTAGTCCTACAAGAAATAGAATGATAGAATCCCACCGAAAACAAATGCGTTGTTTTTTTTTTTTTTCCCATAACACAAAAATAGTTGGTAAACTAAAGCGGGAGCTGTGACTGTGGAGCTTTATTTTCCGTAATTACCCTTGTGATTTCCCGCCATAACTGAGCGCTGCTCGATCTCTTTTTCTTGGCACATAGCCGCTGCACTCTCTCTCTCTCTCTCTCTCCGTGCTCGCGCGTGTGTCCCGTAGCAGATTTCAGATTTTCATCGGATGGCACCTTCTTCTCCGAGTGTTGCTGATTCGCTGCATCCGTCAACAACACCCGAAGTCGTAGAGAATGATCTTCAGGTTCTCTCTTTTCCTCTTACCTTTCTTCATAGCTTTGATTATTAGATCCTCACAAACTCTCTGTGATTATGTATGTACCTTGACGATTTGCCGTTGTCCAGTTTAACACTGTTTTACTTTACTAATTTCGAATATTACTTCACTCTGAATGGCCTTTGATTGGTATCGACATGTTCGTTAGCTTCCAGTTCTCATTGATGCTTAATGTCCTTTGGTATATCTTGTAGATGAATGGCGTGTGCTTTTGCCTTTGATATTATCTTATTAATCTTGGTTTTAACTGCTCCAGTTAGGTATATTGACTCGTGATTTTATTTCTAGCTAGACAAATAAGGCCATGGCATGTCGCGTCTTCGTCCATTCGAGTGCTAACTAGGCTTTCCATTTTTTTTCATTCCAGTATTTGGTTGGCATTTGAAGTTGAATCTGTTGTTTTGATTCTAAATGAATACCAGTAATTTGATCAATTTCAAATGATCGAGAAATGTCCAGAAATGCCTATATAATAATTGTTTAATAATAATTCATTTCTGTAAAGAATACAAGCAAATAATTTGAATCTAGCCTCTATAAAAACATTGCTATGGGCCATTGTCTTCAATCCATTGCAGTACTGCTAGTTTACCGGGGTTCATTTTTTTAATTTTTGTGATCAGAAAAGAACAAGTGTGACATGTAGCTGTTGGTTTTATTCTTAGCTTGATTTACCTTTTAGCTACTACAGGCAGAGTGCTGATTTAATCCTCATTTGGTTTCTTTCTGTAGCCATTCTTCGTTCTTCATAAAGCTTCATCCCAAAGAAAAGATAGGACATCAACAGGACAGGGAAAATTGCGCAAGAGAAATGAGTTATCTTCATCATCACCACAAAGTGTAAAGAAACTGGAAGGAAGTATGACTGAAGAATGCGATGGCCATTTATTTCAGCAACTGCAGATTGGAGCTTTTGACAATGTTTGGACAAAAATTGAATCTACAATTGAGGTCCTCTATTTACCTTCCCCTCAAATCTTGTAACTTACTGCCATTGGTTTCGCTGTATGTTCCAGCGAATTTTTATCATTCTTTACCCTGGAATAATGCAGCAAGAAAATTAGTGATGAGTCTTCTTTCTACTTCAGGATGTTTTAAGAGATCTCAATGCTAGTGTATTTAATGATATACAACAGTGGGTTCTGGAGTGCTACAACGCAACTAGATTGCTTGGAGAACCTACTATTGCTGAAGCAACTCGCTCTTTTCCTGTTCTAAATAATACTACTGTTGGGCAGCTGTTCACTGCATTAGTTATTACCAGTAAGTGTTTTTGTTCACATTTCTGGTAAATCCTCTGAATGCTTTTGGTCATCAATTCCATAAGCATGTGGATTGCTTGTTGCTTTTGGTCATCATACTCTAGTATGAGTAGTGAAAGCAACATTTATATTTCTAAAACGAAAAAAATCCTGAGATTGAATTATGATTGGCAGGAAACATAGAGTTCGTTGATGATATATTTACATTTGAAGAACTCAGCCATTTCTTGAAATCCCATGGATGCCATGTGGGTATGCTTTCATCAATGGAGTTTTCAATAAAAATTGGGATTGCTGGTTGCTTGAAAGCTTTATTGCATGAGTTTCTTGGCGGAGCTATCGATGTGGGTGCTTCTGTCAGTTTTGTATTTGCGTATAATTGAATTGATTAATTCTATCTACTTCTACTGTCTCCTTTACTTTTTCCTTTCTTAATGCTTTTGTGAGCAGTCAGCTGATATATCAATCTTAGCATCGTGGTATAGAGAACAAGACAACTACAGTAAACCACTGGTGGTGATCATTAATGATTTGGAGAGATGTTGCGGATCAGTCTTAACTGATTTTATCCTGATGTTGAGGTATGTTTAAGTATCTTCTGTAAGAATAATGCTTAAAGACTTTATTTGGATCTTCTATTGCAAGGATGAGGCCTAACCATGTATTCACCGCAACTACTAAAGCTTTTTCCCATTAGGTGATGCCAGCTACATGAATTAGACAATACTATTTTGTTTTGTCCAAAACCATTGAGGCCTCGCTGTGTATATTCCTTGTATATTTTTTATCGCATTTGGAGATTGTGAAGTTTGTTTATTTTAATGTGTAATGGTGAATCTTACTTAATGATGTGAATTGACTTTAATCTCTTCATCTTTTTCTATCAGTGAATGGGTTGTCAAGGTGCCAATCATCTTAATATTTGGAGTTGCAACAACGGTGGATACCCCAAGAAATATAATGCCATTTCATGCTCTTGAGCGGTTGTGCCCCTCTAGGTTCATGCTTGGAACACCAGCAGAGAGAATGGATGCAATTGTTGAGGCTGTTCTTGTCAAACATTGCACCACGTTCAGTATTGGTCATAAAGTGGCACTCTTCCTGAGAAATTACTTCATCAACCAGGATGGGACAGTAACATCTTTTATTAGAGCTTTGAAGGTTAATACTGCAATTTTTGGATCACTGACTGACTGTTATCTGTATCTTCATTTTTTGGATTACTCACACAGTGACCGGGTACATGACCTAGGCTTTTGCATGTCATTTTTTTTCTATATCTTTCAGGCAGCTTGCTTATTACATTTCTCTATGGAACCTCTGAGTCTCATACATGGGGGAACACTTGCTGAAGAACAGAGAGTCTGTCTTAAACTCTTCTAATATTTGAATTATCTTTCCTTTGAGTTTGCTCTTACAAATCTGGTTTATTTCATACTTATTTTTATTTAGCTTTTGGCTCTAGAGTTTTGATTACGTACTGTAGGGTCATTTAGCCCCCTGTTGGTCTAAATTTTTTTTCAGTTGGTAGTGTTTGATCCATGCTCTCGTAACTCAAATTTAGACATTTCAGCATATGGGCGTGGGTATCTGTACTACATCCAATTTTCAAACTGCTGGGTGTGTTCTTGTTATGGAGTATAAGAGCAGCATAAACATCACTATCTCCTCAATTACTCCATTGATTAAATGTAATCAAGCTATAAATAAGGGATTAAGTAGACAGTGGACAGTCTATACATGCAGTGTTCTCTCACAAATACTTTGTTTCAATGATATTGATCGGAATGTATACTTGCTTCTGCTCCGACCAATGCCAATGTTTGTGTTAAATGATGTGTCATCATAAACTTGCCCAGAAATTATTTGTCTATCTTACCATGTTATTCCTTTTTCTTATTATCATTTTAATGTTGGTTATAAATGGGTTGTCAGGAGGGAAAATCTGCATTATCACCAGAGACTATTTTGAAATACATAGATGAACTTCCATCGTATGCAAGGTATTATAGTTTACGAATTTTCTAGTTCTAATTTAGATTTGCTTGACAATGAGTTCATCCCTTGGTTAAAATTAATCTAGGAATCAAATGGTTGATCATCAGACTAAAAAGAGCGTGGCGAAAGGTTTGTCAGAGCTTATGACAGTGCAGAAGCGATGGAGCACTACCGTTCTCGTAAGATTTAGGAACTGCTTTTAGATCCTGTGCACCCACCGTCCATTCTTATCAGTCAAATTTGCATTGCTTTATTGATTATCTTTCGTATGATAATTGATCAATTGATGACAGTAGAAACCTAAACAATCTAATAAGTAGCTTATCGGTACATCAAAGTTACTACAGAAAATTTTCAAACTCGGTAGGAAAGGAAGTTTTAATACGGGTGTTAAATCGATAATGGAATTCATGTACGCGACCATAATACTAACCTAGGGATGAAACTTATTTTCAGAGTCGTGTATGATATTTAACTGCTAAAATGATGTAAGAAAACTTAAAAGGGGCACATGCCACTGAAAGATGAGGACCGCAGTTTCCTTCCATTAAAAGAGCTGAATTTTCTTAGTCTTCGATGATGAGGTTGCCAGGATGCAAGTCAAAGTGACAAACTACTGCTTTTTAATCAAGTGTGATTATTGCTAGTGCAGTAAGACGGGCAGTTTTAGATAGGAATGATGGCTGTTTGGGTGCTGTGAGTAGCATCTGCGGGCTTAGTGCTAGGGTTTAATGGGTTAGGGCAAATTGAAGGAAGAATTAACTAGGGTTTAGATGAGGTAAGCCTCAAATCTGGTCAAACACTCTAACAGCTTTTAGTAAAGGTTATGGACAACTATTGTCTTCCCAAAACAAAAACTAAACCATAATACGGAGATTATTTTATCTTTATTTCTTCTTTCTCGCTATCGAAGCATGGTGTCCATATATTCATTATGTGATGATCTTGAATTTCATATTTGCATGTTCGAGGTTTTCTGTGTTTCTTTTCCTTTTGATGTTGGTTATTTTTTTTCCTCTTGGTTATCCCCTTTTACGGTGGATGAGAATTGGGAAGTCTATTATGTTCGCCTTGCATTTAGCTATGCTGCGATACCTGTGAATTTCATCTGTAGATAAAAAATTGGAAAATATTTTGTATTCATTGTGATTTGCCTAAACTTTTCCTAATGAAATTGTTTGGTGATTAGTTGTTGACGTGGCTAAGTTGGAGTTCATGATCCTGATTTTTCCTTTGGTTCAGTGTCTATATGAAGCTGGAAAATATAGCAGAGTGCGATTGCTGGATTTGTTTTGTGAAGCTCTCAATCAAGATTTGTATCCGTTAAGGGATTCTGATTGTCATGTGGGGGATGAAAAAGATCGTGGTTTGTCCTCGACAAAGGATCCCTGTCAACAATACTCTATCATGCAAAACGGGGGTTTTATTTGCCAGATAGTACGCAAAGTGAGGTTGGGAATATGGTGCTTGTCTTCTTTTAGAAAAGCTTGATGTAGAAAAACTTTTGCTCTTAGGAGCACATTTAAGCAGAAAAGGAGGAAGGATAGATAGGGAAGCCATGAAATCTGTAAAATCTTTTTGTGATTAAAGATGACGTCCAAAGCACCCGTTTACCTCTCTATATTGGCAATACCGGGTAACGAAGTATTGTATTTCCTGAATCTAATAGGAAGAAAACTATTGACTTTGAAAAATAATTCTAGTAGGATACTAAATGATGTAACCAAAAATTATGATGACATCACAAAAGCCATATTGATGATTATTTAGATTAATTTGAAAAATTCCTTCCTTCTTTATTTGTCTATTGAGACACTTTTCAGTGACCTTTACCATCAACTTGTTAACTATGTCTATTACGGTAATGCGGGCACTGTGTATACTTATAATAACTTTGCTGATTTAATCGCTTAACACAGTCCTTTATTTTGTTATACTTCAAATATGTATGGACTTTTGATTAGAAATTGTGCAGGGATCTCCCCACAGGAATGCTACATCAGTTGATTGAGAATTGGGGAAAACTTACTGCAGATATTTCAGAGGTATGTTTAAACTTGAATATATGCTTGCTGGTAATGTAAATTTTTCTGAATTAATATTTTTTCCCCTTCTTGTCGAGACCATGTTTGGAGTAATTGGATCCAATTACTAAATATGGGAATCTTAAATGATGAAATTACTTATGTTCTCATTTTAATAATGATTGCCAACAGAAGGTCAGCAAACTAAGTGTACCCTTTTTGCAGATTCATGAGAAATTAAAAGCGTTGCAATCTTCAGTAATATGCGAAGATGGAAAGAGTTCCCGCAAGAGTTCCAAGGACATTTCCAAGTAACATTTTTACTCTCTCTTTTTTTTTAATTTATTTCCTTGTAGATCATAATTTAAATGTAGATATTATTTACCGGGCTGTGGAGATGGGGATGGACAATTTTTTTTGGTAAACAAGGGTGGAAATATGTTATTCAAAAGAAGCGAGCCCTTGGACTAGGAGATGGATTCCTTATTAATGATGTTTTGGTACCTTTACCTGACGAGCCACTAATTTTTCTTCACATTTTAACACAATTTTTTTTATTCTCTCTTTTATTGAAGGGTGAAATTCATATATTAATAGAAAGAGTGAAAGTTACATGATTTAAACAATCTACTTAACAATTAATTAAAGATGAAGTCATTATTCGTATTTTATGGAATAATGTACAGATTGGTATTAAATTAAAGCTTTTCTAAACATCTAAGGTAAAAATTGATGTATCAAGGGATATCCATTGTTATCTACTTCACTTGCAACTTCTTTTCTTATAATGAAGTCTTTTTTCAATTAAAAGAAATGCATGTGTGATTGTGATTGGTTTTGTAGGCTTTTTAATTTGGTAACTAATGCACCAATTTATATTTTTAGGAGATATGCATCCAGTATTTCAGTAAACATCGACAAGGACGCAAGAATGTTAAATTCGCAAGCTATTGCATTTTTAGATTGTCTGGTTAGGTAAGATTTATTTTTTGTAACTGCTTTTTTCATTTTAACTATTTATGCTTATTGATGGTGGAAGACTCGATATTGGCAGTGTTTTATAGTAAATCTATATTATTGTCCAACACTAGGCTTATGTGAACGCTGCAAGAGATATGACTGGAAGGCATATGTCACTTTCACAAGGGGCTTGAATTTTTATCTTCAATAACTCAAAAAGCAGTTGGCTCAATTTGTTGGTTTGCCTACACTAAGCATTGTCCCACATCCCTTTTTATTTGTTTTTACTAAACAAATTTAATTAAAACAAGACAATAGTTTTATCAATGTCTTGGGTCAGAGAACTGTTGATACATGATCAGCTTTCCCATCAATCATGCAAGATTCTACCATATTAATATTTATCTTTTGAAGCTGATATCTCTACTCTAACTCAACTTGATGATATTTATAATCACCAAGCCTCTAGCCATATTATTAACATGAAAATAATCAAGAATCAAACACAATCAGATAACTTCTAGTAGATCGTGTTTTATTGCTGACATTATTTATGGTGCTAACACGAAGAGCTTGTCTTATTGCTTCCTTCGCTGCATTGCTTTGCATAGAAGTATAGTAGAAAAACACTTTTATCGTTAGGCACTTAAACTGTCATTTCCTCATTGCCGGTATTTAAGTATTGTTACTGGTCATTGTTTTCATGGAACAGAGATTTTTTGAAGCCCATTGAAGGCATGCCTTTCCATGAAATTTTCTGCTTCAAGAATATTGAGAAGCTTCAATTGGTAAGGCACCCATAGATTATCTTTTCCACTGGATGGATATTTTACTTTACAAACCGAATCACCCTTGGGTTTAAGTTGCAGCTTGATATTACTTTTAGACACTGCCAGTTTATACATAACTTGCTAACATATGAAAATAACTACAGTTCATTACCCCTTTCTCTTGTTTCACTACTTCCCAATTCTTAGATCCTACTTATGCTTAAACTAAGACTAGGCTATTAATCCTTAATTTGTTTGTTCAGAAATGCAGCTTTGGTAAAATTTGCTGATAATCTGGATAAAATGCTAAAATAAATCTTAAAACCATAAAAACCTGAATGGGTGTGTCTTTGTTATAGATTGATGTTTTGGATAACTCTGCTCTTTTGGGGAAAACTGAATAACTGTATATGATATTTTCAGATAAAGAAGTAAATGAGAATTTTGCATGTTCTCCAACGAATTAGATGACCAAAGCTTTTCACTGTTTCCACCGTTCCATGCTCATGAGCTTCCCTTTGTTGAGATTCCTTAGCTTGACTTAAAACACTGACTAAATTTCATTTCTCTTTGGCATGGTCAGTGTATCATGAATGAGATGGAGGTGCAGTGTGTCTTTCTGTTATCAATTTTTGGAAATAGGCATATTTGGTTCAGATCGTTATTTATATAAACTGCAAATAATAGGATTCCATTCCTGTATCCATTCTGTTATATGTGAGATTTCTATAATGCAACTACGTTGCATGAAGATTAAGACACTAGATTCAAAATTATTTGCAATATTTTTTCTTCTGCAGTTTTAATTATCTTCCTTGTTCATTGTAGGTTTTAATTGGAGATCCAAGAAGAAGAATTCAAGTTGATCTGTTGGAGGTCCATAAGATTTTAAGGTGTGGTTGCTGTAGCAAGAGTGGCAGTGCCCTATTGCCATCGAGGCATGATTCCTCAATTATGTAAGTATATCTAGTGAAGTGCTTGCTTACAGCATACCAATTCTTGCAACTTTTCGATGATGTTCTCCTTTACCTTTTTTCCAGGTAGCTATTTCCATCTTTTTAATAGGTTAACTAAAATTTGGTTGGACTTGTATTTTGTACTACTGGACTTGGACTTGTCATAAATTCATTAGTATAAATACATGTACAAGGAGCCTAACTATAATTAGGTAGTGCCATTCATTGTTTCTCTTACTCAGCTTCTCTTTACAGTACATATAAATATCACTCAACTCATCAATAGGTATTTGTAGAGTACAAAGATGGGGAAGAGAGAAGGCATAGTACGGTAGATTGTTATTGCCCTAACCTTGGTATAGGGAAATCTCCCCTCTTAACTTTTGTATACCCGAGCAAAGGATCTCTTCGTTTTAAATTCCAAAGGTCGTTACTTTTCTTTCTTGGGAGGGTGGGAGTCCAAGAATTCCCAAGTTCAACCAATCTTGTTCCTTATGCTATTGACTTTATAAATCTCTTCAAACGCCTAGCTTAGTATTTGGCAATTGACATTAAGTCAACATGCGGCCTTGTAGATATACTTAAATCTCCGACGTAAATAGTAGTCTTTAATCGCAGTGGAGCTCTGAAATTTTTCTTTCATTTAGCTTTAGCGTTTCTACTCGAAGGTTTGATTTGATGTAAATATATCTCTATCTTTATATTTTTACAGGTATTCTCTGGCTCAAGAGCATGGAGATCTTATCAATCTTCATGACTGGTTCGAGTCTTTTAGAACAATTGTTCTTCAACATAAAAATAAACGGAAACAAAAATCAAAGCAGTCCCCCCAACCAAAGAAGAGAAAAGATATAAACGGATCTGCAGACCAAAACGAAGCATCAATCCAGTATCCTTTATAATTTCCATTTCACACGGTATCTTTGATAGCATGAGGTATATCAGCTTAAATGCATTGCAAGATGTGCAAGTTAGGATTTATAAAGTTATAATGTCACTAGTGTCATTTATTATTGCACACGCATGCATTTTAACTTGGAAAATATAATGGAACGTTTTCTAATAAAAAAAAACTAAATGACACGGGGCCATTTGAAATAATGGAACATTTTAACTTGATTGCCACCGGTATATGCTGCCACTCAGCATTCTAATTTGTTCAAGATTTCTTCACAATTATGGGGTACATTTTTTCGTACTATTATTTTAAGAAAAAGTCCATTTACCCCCTCTTACTTAAGGTCTGTGTACTTCGATCCTTTAAACTTATAAAAATGTGCCGCAATACTTTGTAGCTCTAAATTTTATGCTTAACTGTTTTAATCCTTTGATGTCATTTTCCATTAGACATAAATGGAAATTGTCACGTTCAAATCATGTGACCAGTATTTGTTGCGAAGTTCTTAACGGGAATAGTTCAACTTACCAATCTCTAAATTAGGCTCAAGTGCACTTTGGTCTTAAAACTTAATGTGACAATTTCTGTGAATGTTTGATGAAAAATTATAATAAAAAATGTTTATGCCTAATGTTAGACTAAGGAACCTAGTGTACATTTTATTGGTCTTTAAATGATTTTAGCTTGTAGGCCAACTATGGTATGCTTAATGTTTTTTGGTTTTGTTATTTTCAGCCTTTAGGCTTAGTTTAAGGATTTATAAATAATTTTTTAATGAAAAATACATTTACTGTATTAGAATTATAAAAGTATAATCAATATTCATCTTTTTAATAAAATTTTATTATTTATGAATGCTTAAATTAATAAAATCCAATATTTGTGTATTTGCATATTTCCCATTTCAATCTCCCAGTTGCAGTGATTTGAATGCACTTTATTGATCTCGGTCAGTCCTTAATCTTGGTTTGTCATAGAGCACGCTTTTGTAGGGCAGTTACAGAGCTGCAGATCACTGGACTGGTTAGAATGCCCAGCAAGAGGCGCCCTGATTTTGCTCAAAGAGTTGCATTTGGTCTTTGAATGTGGATTCACTGGTTTACTAATTTTCTTCTTGAAATGTCATAACTTTATTTTTTTATTATCTAATTATTCATGGTCTAATATGCTGATTTGTTAATCGATATACCTAATTCAAAGGAAAAAGAAAGATAAACTATCTACCTGTCATAGGATGCTTATTACATTTTTTTAAAAAAAATTCCCAATATATTTTTATAATAATTTTGCCTCTATATATTAAAATAATTTTTTTATTTTTAAATGAGTGGATTTAATAGATATTTTAAGAGTATTTTGCATGTTTTTTTCATTATATTATATAACAATTCTCTGTATTGAGTGTTTAAAATTTTCAATTTAAGTTTAATTTAAAGTTTTAAATTAATTTAAAAAAAATTATCTCTTTAAATTAGTCTTATTTAATATAATATACTATAATATAATTTATTATTAATAAAAATATTTACTATTTCAAAAATTGTATACCATGAATTTTTATTAAAAATTATTAATTTAATAATACTTATGCAATGCATGAAAAATTATTATTTGTTTTAAATAGGATTGTGTTTGTAATGGTTTAGTTTGCTTCTGCTTACCGGCGTTTTATTTCGGGGTTGAAGAGAAAGTGTCAAATCAATTGAATTATACCGATTTGGTGAAAAACAAGTGATTTAGTTTAGATCTTTGGATTTTGGCAACCTATATATACTTTTAAAACTTTAGTAAAGAATATGAAAATTTCAAAAATTTGTTTTAACTAATACATAATTTTGTAATAAAAATTCAATAATGTCCTTGAAATTAAATACCAGATGACTTTACGGTTAGTGACACTAGCATAAGCATTAATATGTTGCATTAATGTATGAACATGAAACATCCCTGTTTTCTTATTTTAAGTGTAGAAAAAAAAAGGAAAAAGATTGAGTACCGGTTGTTGAAATTGAGAAAAAGAAAAGGTTAAAAAACAAAGCTATGATATGATGAGAAAAACAATCTTTAACACACGAGAATTTAGAAAGTAATTAATTTGAAATTTTGAAAACATAAAAACAAGTTTTAAATAAAGTAAAATCATTTTACATGAAAAAAATTACAAAAAAAATAAATATATATTCATATTTAAGAATTAAAAAATATGATTTGATAATATAAAGCTATTGATTAATCAATATCATTTACATTCACATTTAACTGCATGCTGAGGAGGTAGAGGGCGGATGATTAATCAAATAAGCATGTAATATAAAATGAATTTATAGAGACTAACAAGAGCATAGGTAGCATCCATCATCATAGGAGTTCCACTCTGATCAACCGTATATGGTAAATGGATGCAGAAGGACTGGACCGCAGTTCTTCTGCACACCCCAGCGGAAGGGAACGGATGTATGGATTACCTCACCAACAGGGGTTTAAAGGAACACCTTGGGATGCGTATGTTCTTTTGTTGGCTTCCTTATCCCATGACGTTAACGATGATGCCGTTGATTAGTTGTTTTATGAGTGAAATATCATTTTAAGTACTGTTTATAACTAATAAACAGACAAACGTTATGAGTGCTTCGGTTAAGCTTCCGTCTGATCAGTAACCATTTATACTTCAAACCAAGATCTAAGAGCCAAAAACTGCTATAGTCATCAGTGAAGAGAAAACAATATTGTGTTTTATTTTTCATGATGATTGTCAGTCGATAAAAATGGAATTGCGAGAACTAGTTTATACAGAAGTTAACAAGATAATGGAATTAACCGAGATCCCGTAAAGGAAGTTAACAAGATAAAACAGTGCAAAGAGCTGCTTGTTTCATTTGGGCAAAGAACTCCAACCTGGATTCTGTTGTTATTCTGCCATCAGTTGAACTTTGGACGCAAGTAAAACTTTGGGTCCCTGAGAAACCTTGAAACCATCTCTGCCTTGTCCGTAGAAAGATCTGTGTTCTCTAGAATTTGCTCTTTTGATGCCTTGGCTATTGCTTGGACTGAACCAATAGCTTGACTAAGCTGAATTGAGCGATCACAATAACAAAATAACTCAAGCTATATGCATGGCTACCATGGTTTCGCACGTGACAAAATTATTATAATGTGGTATACTATCTCAATAACTAGACGAGTAGCACAAACACAAGTCTAATATAGCATCAAATTCAAAAATTTGTCACGAGTGTAGTTATCAGTAAATGCACAAAATGTATAAGGCTGGTATGCCTTAACGAGTTTTAAACGTCTATATAATCAAGAATCCTGGGCTTTAGCAACATTGGGTGGAGGTATGTAAAAATTGGAAAACTAAATTGAAGAGTTGCCTCATAATAGAGGAATTTACCGCATTTGCATCGTGATTGTCGATGCCTGGGATGGATGTAACCACCTTAAGGTAAAAATTCATTCCTTGTACTAGTTGTTTCCTCTTCAAAACCGTAACAAAATTCGTACATCAATATGTTAGTTTCATTTCTTAATGGACTCTTAGCATAACGTTGTGTGAATGTAGAATCAATCAACTGACCTCAGCTTTCAATTTTTCTCCAATTTTCTCCTGCTTGTATACTGCAATTAGTTGGAGGATGAGAAAAATAAATTGGAACAACACATTATAGTTTGAAGTTTCTGGTTCTACCTCCAGAAGAATGAGCTATTTTTACCATCTTTTCAAACCCCATCTCTAAGTCCTGCACTGGAACAAATGTAGGCTTGCCAATCACCATCCCGAATCTGCACGTATCCATATCCATGATCCTTGTTTCGTTATTCAAGTCATACATAACAAACTACATCAATCAGAACGCAAGTAACAAAACTCACTTGAAATATGACTGAATAAATGAATCAATATGCTCTCTTGCTGGGAGTGTGATAACAACATAAAAACGTGCAAATTGTGTCTTTAGTTTCTGAACTCTGCATGGGAAAAATTTGAATCAGACAGAAAACTAGTAACTCTTTTCTCAGTAGAACCACTCAAACATAACCCCAGACAATGACTCTAGAAAAGCAGCGTAGTTACTTGCAGAAGATTGGAGCCACATTGTTGCAGTCCCAGTTTGTCATAAAAATGAAGGCTACAGACAAACCCCCACAATTGAAAATAAAGTCCTACAAGGAAATTCCTCAAATTTCAGTGCTGAACCAATATTTGAAAGGAACAAAAGAAGGAACAGGAAAAGAAAAACCAAAGAACAGGCAATTACTGGGGCGATTGGGACAAAATTAAGGCGAAAAGAATTTTCACTGAGAAAAGTGGAGATAAAATTGATGAAGGACGGATGCTGGTCCTCTTTCCATGCATTTCTCATCAAACAGACTCCACCTGTGCCTACAACAGTACGTAATAGTGGCCTAATTCAAAATAAGTTAAGAAGAGAATGCATTTTGTAGTGATTATAAATTTAAACATGCAACAGAGTTCTACATCTAGCACCGTCATCTTGAGTACATGGTTAAATCAGCACATGTAAAAGCCAACGCGTTAAGATAAAGATCAGAGGCATTGCTGCAAAGTTTCCACGATAAACGGTTGGTTTTAGGAGGAGAATCCAGATTCCACTCACTATACCTGATCCTAGGATCAATCTGATGACAATAACTCTCTTTGCAACAATATTACTAAAGCATGCTCAAAGGCCTCAAACTTAATTATCCTTTTGTCAAATCCTTACTTAAAAACAAGAATATCATATTGAAAGAATGAAAATCGAAATCTAACAAGGAATCAAAGCAACAGATCCCTCTCCATCATAAACGAAATTACAAAATGATTTTAAAATACTGCTCTACCGATAGAGGACTAAAGTTTTTTCGACTAATTCATGTTGCTTCTTTCTTTTTCCTTAAATAAAAACCAGATCTCTAGGTAAAAATGGAGTTACAATAGCACGAACCTTTTCTCCAAGTTAGTTTAGCAAACTCATAGTATTACAGTGTCGGAAAGCATGAGATCAATTTTGCGCCACTAATAAATAGGACTTACGATTTTAACAAACAGAATCGAAACTGAAATTAAAATTGTGATTAACCAATCTGTTTCGCTTAATTAAGAACCATCGGTACCGGAGAATGCGGCATGCGACGGAGTTGGAGCTGATGAATCTCTTAGGAATATATCCATGAGTAAATTGCAGAGAGAACTGTGAACGGAGAAGAATAAGCGTTTAGTTTTGTTTTCGAAGCGCGTTTCCTTTCTCTCTCGCGAATACAAATTGCGAATGAAAGCGATCAGAAGAAGGTCATACCTTCAGCACACGCAGGCTGCTGCTAAGGCGGCGCTTGGCGGTTATGGCAGTGTGGCAGAGGAAGGTGTTTCCCGCCAAGTATCAACGAGTTTATATACTCATGCTTCTTTTTTTTTTTCCTTTCAGATTTAACTTAATTTTCAAGTGTAATTTTTGAAATAAAAATAAAAATGTTCAGAACTATGAATAACTAGAGAAGTCCATTTTAGAGGAGTAATAAACATATTTCAGAAATTAAATTGATTTGTGACCATCGTGAATGATTTTTTACGTCATTAATTATTTTATTATAGGATTTAATTTTAATATATTATTATGTAAAAAAATTTATGCCATTAATTAATTAAAAATTATCATAAATAATTTTTAAATTAATTATTATAAAAGTTAACAAATTTGTATGAGATAATGATTCATTCATACCTTAAATATATTTAAATTAAAATGATATTGTGATATATATATATATATATATATAATTTTATTTTTCTTACACAGATATATTTAATGAACTAAAATATTGATTTTATTAATATATTAAAGTGGAGACTAAAAATATAGTAGAGACTATAACTTAAATGTGTCTAATATTTATTTATGAATGTTTTATACAATATCTAGAATACTAATATTTTGAATCTATCACAAGTTTTATGTCTCAACTCCTACCAATAAGTTAGACGTTATTTCTAAACAAATTATAGTTAGTGCACATGAAGAAGGTAACGATGAAGAGGGAGAAGCATATGCGACCATCGTTCCTAACCAAGAGGTAGAATGAAAAGTAATGACGATAACTTTGAAGGAGATTATAGAAATGATTACGAAGATGTGAATGTGAATGATGATATAGATGATAAGAGCTTCAATTTATGAAATCTAGTGATTGGCCAACATTCATTTGGGAAGCCATCATTCATATGTGCTTTAGATCTAATACTATGCAAGCACCTAAATTTTCAAAGCATGCTAACTTAGGTATATAACGTTATATTATATTTATACCACATATTTATATTTAGCCCTTTTAATGAGTTTTTGTTTCTTCTTGTGCTTGATTGGTCATTGTGAGATAGATGGAAATTTATATGTTGGAATGTAATTTTATGACAAAGAAGCTATTATACGAATAATTAAGCATTACAATATATCAAAAGGAGTGAACTATAAAGTCTTTGAGTCTGAACTAAATATATTTTATTATAAATGTGTTAGATATGACATATATTGTGGATGACTTCTTCATATTATTTTCAAGAAAAATAAATATTTTTAGGAAATTAAAAGTATAACTAGCCATGTTAAGATTTTTGCAAACATACCAACCTTCCGTTTTAGTAAAGAAGTATGCATTGTCGTGTCCACCTAAATATATTTATAATTTCTATTATCCTACTTAAAACTCTTAACGCAAAGTTATTTGCACAAGTATTCATGGGTAATAATTTTAGAAATTAAGAATTAAAATTAATTACGATATAAAAAAATTAGGATTTGAGCTTGGATTAGATTTCATCATTCATCTTCTTCCATATTTTGATGAATAAATACCTATAAATTATTTTATAGACATTGATGTACTCTTTTCATATTTCCTTATACTGATTCCTCAAATACGAGGTTCTTAAGAATATTCAATGAATAACGATATCACATCACAATATACTGAGTGAGTTTCATTCAGTTCGATCTTAAATTAAAATACTATCAATTAAAATAGAATCAAGCATTAAAAACACTAATATTTATAAAATGAATAACTATATATAAATTATCAAAATATTTAAGAGTAGAAGATTACATCCAATCTCAAAGGGAGTCTAGCTACTCATGATAGCCACTACACAAAGAAATATGTATGAAATTTTTAATATATTCAGGATTTTCTGATTCCTGTCGTACTAGTTTCATTAACATCAACTATCTTTCTATGATCTTTTAAAAGATTTATGACAAAATTGTAGACAAAAGTGTTTAGAAAGTGCCATTAGTTTTTTGAAAAGCAAGGCATGAAGGCCATAAGGCCCTAAAGACTTAAAATTGTCAATACTGAATAAGGCAGTCTTAACCTCCTCAATAAAAACCTTCAAAAAAAATATAGCCTTATTAGAATCTCTCATAGGAAGAAAGGAGGTTTGAGTGTATATATTAAAGTTCTGAGGACTACAATCAAAGTACAAGTTTTTAAAATAATTTAGGGCTAAAAATTTACATGAGTCAAACTCTCAATTATGATTACCATCCTTCAATGTTTCAATTAGATTTTTATGCCTTCTACCCATGGCAACTCTATGAAAGAACTTAGTTCTATAATGGTGGTACCAAATAGACTCCTCTTGATCAAGGATAAGTTGGTAATCTTTCCATAAAATTTTCATGAAGTTAATGAAAAAGGGATTATTATCATAACCCATTTTCTAGAAATACCCTCAATTTTGTTGAGTAAGTGCTTTTTCTTTTAGAAAATATTACTAAAAATAATTTTATTTCAGTATGAGATATTATTCTTAAAAGTAGTTACATTTTTTGTCTCTGTATTTGATATCAGCCAAGAGTTCTTAACTTGATTATAAAAATCAAAATGAGGAAGCTAATGGGTAGGGTATTTAAAAACCTTATTATTCTGATTAAAGGACTTATTATTATTCCTTATTTTAAGTTAAAGACCAAAGTGATTAGATTTTACTAGAGTAATATGAATAACAAAGCTATTAAGAAAGAAGAAACACCAATAATAATTAGCAATAGCCCTATCCAAGCTCCCTTTATGATTTCTCCTATGTCAAGTAAAATGATTGCCTTTATAACTCAAATCCAATAGTTCACATTAGAACATACAGTTAGCCAACTTATTGATATGAATAGGATTAGAAAGTTTATTCCCAACTTTTTCTTATTCATAAAGGATAGAATTAAAGTCTTCAGACAAACACTAAGAATACTTAATAGAGGAGTTCAGTTTAATTAATTCCTTCTAATAATCAACCATGATACTCTGTTGAGGGCTTAGCATAGACATATTATAAAACTCAATCTTCATTCATAGACTCTAATTTTCAAGTAAATAAAAAACTTAGATTTAACAACCAAAAAGAGTATTGAGATTTTATTATTATTACAAAGACACCATATAACATTATTTTTTTACCCCCATTAAAATTTATTTTCTTTACAACAGTATCATTTTTTACTAAACTAATTCATTTAAAAATTACTATAATACTTAATTTAATAACTACTATCAAATAACATATCTTATTAATAAACGTATTACTTAATAATAATCACTATTTATTACTTTTATTTTTTTTAACAAATTGTTTACCACTCAAATAAATTATTACTAAATAAAATTTAATATCAATAAAATTTAAACTACAATACACCATGTTCCAATAATTTACATTAATTTAAAAAATTAATAAAAATAATTACTTACATTTTGAGTATATACTTAGTTTAAAATGTGCTTTATAAATTTATAGTTACATCACGAATAATATTGATCAAATTTCTAAAGCATAATATTTTTATAAAATAAAATCTAACTTTTTTATTTTATTTTATTGCTAAATTTGTACCTTTTTCACTCTCTTCTCTAGTATCCTTCTTTACAACATTTATTCCTGGTGAACTCTTCCCTCAATGACTCACTGTCCGCGCATGATACTAACTACCTGAGGTCTTATTTATAGTCCAAAAAATGGTCAATGGCTGAGTTTTTCAGACCTAGAACAGCTCTCTTCCTTTCTTAACTTTCACATGACTCTATTGTGCGTAATAAGAGTCGCGAGTGACGATTCTTTAGGTATCCAAATTCATGTGACTCGACGTGCAGTGTATTAAGCATAACCTTGAGGACCCAAATAGTATCGGGCAGTTTTTTAAAATTCATATATACGTATGTCATAAATCTCGTATTAGTGTAATTATATAATTAAACATCATATTTAAATTAATAATCCTTAAAATTTCTTTTTGTTTTTCATTTTTCTTTCTTCGCAAAATCATCCTATCCAATACAGTGTTAATAATCAAAATCTAACTGACACATATAGATAAAATGCTTCATTAATCATTTGGTTAACACTTTCCTTCTTTCTTTTTCCTTTTTCTATTTATAAATCCACGCATCACAATTCACAGCTAAATACTCGCTACAACGCTCAAATATTTCCCTCTCTTTCTCTCCAATCCGCGTCGTTGAAATTGTTGAACTCCAAAGAAACACAAACTTTCTTTCCTTTTCTTCCTTATTTTGACAATAGGAAACGCCACCTTAACTTGTCTGCTTCAGGATCTGCTTTCCAAGTTTCTGCAGCTATCGCCATCAACATTTAGTTCCACCTCTTTGCTCTGCAACCCAAAGTCCGTTTATCTGTCTTCTTCCCTTGGATTTGGTTTACTAATTCTCCTTTGAAAGTGGATTGCTCTAATGACTTGAGATTTTCATTTCCTTGTTCATTTTTTTCTTTATTTTTGTACCTAAAAAAATTCTTTTTTTTTCTCCGAAAACAAATTGGTATTGTCATTTTGAAATTTGATCTCATTAAGGATTAAGCATTTCATTTGTTTTGTTGGGTTGGAACAGGGAGGCACATTAATTTGTCTGCTGAGATGAGTTTGAGCACTGGCGGAATCCACACACCGTGTAGCAGTGTAAGGGATGCAATGAAGCCCTTCAGAATCTTCGTGGGGTATGATCCACGTGAAGACATTGCCTTTGAGGTTTGCCGCCACTCCATATTGAAGAAGTCTTCAATCCCTGTTGAGATCATACCAATCAAGCAATCAGATCTAAGAAAAAATTGCTTGTATTGGCGCGAAAAGAACCAATTAGAGAGCACAGAGTTCTCCTTTTCAAGATTCTTAACTCCTTACTTAGCCAACTACGAGGGTTGGGCAATGTTTGTGGACTGTGATTTCTTGTACTTAGCAGATATTAAGGAGCTGAGAGACATGGTTGATGACAAGTATGCTGTCATGTGTGTTCAACATGAATATGCCCCAAAGGAGACCACAAAGATGGATGGAGCAGTGCAAACTGTGTACCCAAGAAAGAATTGGTCTTCAATGGTGTTGTATAATTGTGGGCATCCCAAGAACCGTGTTTTGATTCCAGACATTGTTAACACACAGACTGGTGTATTTCTTCATAGGTTTCAATGGCTTGAGGATAATGAAATTGGGTCCATCCCATTTGTTTGGAACTTTCTTGAGGGGCATAACAAGGTTGTGAAGAATGACCCGAGTACTTTCCCCAAGGCCATCCATTATACACGTGGGGGACCATGGTTTGAAGCTTGGAAGAACTGTGAATTTGCTGATCTCTAGCTGAATGAAAGGGAAGAGTACCTGAATGAACCCAAAAAGGTGATTGCAAATTAGATCGGAAAACATCAGCTGGTGCAATAATATATTCGGAGACTTTAGTCCTTAATAAGTCAATTATGGCCATGTATCATTCTTCATTTCAAATTGCTCGTGCAGGTTCCGTAACTGATGATGCAAGTTATGAGAGTTGGCGAATAATGGATATACAGTTAGTATTCTTTGCGGTATTAAATACATAGGCATTTCAGATCAAACGCCCTTCATGAAGTATTTTGTTTTACATATGTATACATCCATTGAGTAACCATAAATAATAAATAAAGATAACTAGTATTGCGTATTGACTGTTTTAACGTAAAAGAAAATTTGATATTGTATGTAATATTGCATATACTTATTTTAATATTTTACCTTTTTTTAACGTAAAAGAAAATTCTGTCTATGCATGTAAAAAGTACATTTCTATACTTTTTTTTAAAATGGTTTTTTTGTTTTCCCAGATTTTGAATTTGAAGAACATTTTTTTTATGATTTTATTAATTACATTCTTTAAGACTAATCTTAAACATTTCAAGATAATAAGATTTCATTAAAAACATTAATTAATGCTTAATATATTTATATATTTTAAATATCACAAATACTATTATAAAAAAAATCACAAATACATTCTGATTTATAAAATTTTGTTTTTTTTAATTAACATTTTCCTTTTTTACTTTTAATTTGTGGTAGTTACAAAGTCACGCGGGCCTCTGCCCGATGCATATGGGAGAAAATATTTTAATGTTAACAGGTGGGGGTTTACTTTTTAAACTGTTGCTTTAAGCTGTTTGTACCCTATATATATATATATATATATATATATATATATATATATATTTATTTATTTATTTATTTATTTATTTTTCTTTTCAAAATTACCCCTTAAACAATTTAAAAATTTAACCTCCCTGGCCGTTCGCTCTCTCACAAAAACTGAAGCAAAAAAGCAATAGCATTAACAAAATGTAGATTAAAATTGTGATTAAAAGCATAGTGCTAGTGTGGTGTGTGCAGCGATGAGTAATAATCTAAAATATAATATGGATAAATTTATAGAAGTCTAGTGGTTGAAGATGAAGATGTACCACGGACTCCTTACACGAAAATGAAGGTTTTGAAAAAGCAACGTTGAAGACCATTCTTGATCAAAACTATTTTTTGAAAATATAGTCTGAAAGGAGTCTAAATTTTAATTTATTTATGAATGGATAGTTTAAAAATACAGAACAAGAAAAAGTATTGTTTGCGGTGAAAATTGCAATTAAAACAAATAAACTTAGTAACAATCTGGGATTGAATTTTAAATCTTATTTTAAGTATGTTCTTAATGCAATGGTGAAATCAACGTTGTAAAGTAAAGTATCAAGTAAGAATAGTAGTAGAACAATGAAGCAGTATTAAACTAAATGTAAAAAGATTATAGAAACAAACTGAACATAAATTGAATTGCAAAAATGTAACGTACAACTTCTGCTACAAATACTAAGAATTGTTAATCTCTTAGTTGCCAGTGTCTGACTTAATGCAAAACTTCAACATGCAGAGATTTAAGTGTTGGTGTCTAGTGCCAAAAAATTCCCCCTGTAATGTAAAGTTAGGTGTTATTTATAGATAAATAAATCTCAACTGCTCTCCTCCTTTTGCGGAGCCTCTTAGTAACTGCCTTCTATGCGTGCTTTTCCTCAACCACTGCCGCCTATGTTTGTGCTTTTTTCTATAACTGCTCATGATCGTGTCTTCTCTATAACTGTTGCCGCCCACGATCAGCTTCAACTGATGATAACCACGGGTAACTACTGATTTACAATTGTTGGTAATTGCTTCAAGCCTTACAGTTTTTGACATGTTTCTTCACCTTTTGAATTTTGCCCTGTCACTTGGACTTAGCAACATAAGTTGTCAAAGATTCTCTTTTTCGAATGGTTCTAGATGTTTTCAATTTTAGACTAAAAAAATCTTCAAAACTCCTCGAAATGTGACCCCCTTCTTGACAACAAATGGAGCTCTTTTACCTGCTTTTATGGAAGTGTGTTGAAGGGTAACTTCTTCAACAAATATTGAAATTATGAGGTCTCTGTTGGTCCATAATAGATCAAAATGTAGAGATCCACTAATTTTAGTAAAAAAATGTGTCTGCCCATGGTCTTCGAGATGAGCTATTCTTTTCTCTAAAAGGCATAGTCTATTTTTCTACCACAAAGTCTAATAACCTTTGTAACTTAGGAAAAATTTCTTTTTGGCTGCGAACTTCCTCGAAACATAGGAACTCACGAGTGTTGATTTTAGTCGAAGAGATGCACTCTTCGAGGTGGTTCATGACAAACCCGATATAACTCCTTCTATTTATCATCTACCAAAGGCTCTAGTGATGAGGTTTTATAACTTAGGAAAAATTTTCTTTCCCCAAACATATGCCCCCCAAAATATTAGTTTATCCATTTATGATATTTTAATATTTTAATTTTAAAAGGGGGGACGTTTTCACAATTTCAAATTTCCTAAACCTCCCTCCATTTTTTTGGTGTCTCTGCCACTTATCTAGTAATTAATAGACACATTATCTGATGTTAGCACATTTAATGTGACCTGTACAGAGCAGTTACATAAAAATGGCCATTAATGATACATGCGCTGATCTATGCAGGTATTGAGGTATTTTTCAATCGAAATGCCGCTCCATAATGACCCACTATCTCCACGTCTTCCCACAAAATTCAATAGGTTTTGGACTTGGGCTTTTTCTTGTAGGCTTCTGAACCAGTATATAAGGCAAAGTTACCTTATCATTTTTTACACTTTCACTTTTTCCTTCTTATTCTCTCAGAGCTTTGTGATTTTGTTTGAGGTTGTTCTCTCTTCATTTATGTCGAAATCCTTTCTTCCTTCCTTTCATATTTCCTTTTCTCAAAATAGGTTCCAAGTCTAGGGTTCCTTTTGTGACGTCCTAAGGTCACGAACTAAGTACAATGAATATATCTAAAGACATGGTATTTAATCATCATGTCACACACATATGAACGTATATACTAGTTAACGTGCATAACCAAGTTTAATACAATTATTTATGTATACATATATATAAAAGTGCCTATATCCATCTTACATACAAAGCACACATACACATAATACGATATCTAAATACGAGACGTATACACGCAAATACATAATTTAAATAGTCAATAAAGGTAGAAAAACGATTAGTAATTAAAAATACTAGATGTGATTTAAACACTTGAAGGTGTCACCATGTCACATTTTAGATAAGTTCGTTAGCCATTTATAGTCATTCACGTAGTATAACCAAAGAACTAAATGAAAGTCTACAATACTAACAACACCTAGGGCTCATCACTAAAGTAAGTTTGCAAAAAGAGTAAAAGGACTACTATGCCCATGTCCCTTCCCAAAACAGCCCTATCATACAAAAGAAAAGGCATATACATATATATAAAACACTATTAGTCTAGAGGAGTGTATTCCTCTGAAGGATCAAAGTTCAGTGGACAATGCAACATCTAGGTCAGAAGGCAGACTGAGTAGGTCTTCATCTACATCTTCTAACCAACCAGGAGTAGGTGGGGGTATAGGGGAGAGTGGAGACAACACCGGGGGTGAGGGACTACGGTGTGAAGGACCAGCCTCATTGATGGGAGAAAGTTTGTGGGGTGGAGTAGGTGGACGAGGTTGAACGGTGGACTTAATGACATGGATATCCATGCACTTGGGCTCCACAGGAGGAGGAGAGGATGGTCGAGGTGTATGAGCATCAGGGGCCACATCTGGAACAGGTACAGGAGCAGGGACATCAATGTCCCTGGGGGCTGACACAATCATAAGAGTGATGAGAGGAAAAGGTATGGAGGTAGCATATAATGGCAAAGGAAAAATAATCTCTACAGGCAGATCAGTGGTACAACGGGGTTCCCAACCCACCTCTGGTAAACAATATGTTGGCATCATCATATAGCCACAGGTCATTCGCAGTCGTCATCTTGACCATTTCAAATCCCATCTGCATACAACACACACAATACACCAAACAAACAAACACACACCACAAGAAGAGATGAAACAGAAAGAGAAAAGGGTGAGTTTATCATTCCAAATCAAGTACATACCACACATACATACATGTAAACAGGGTACTACGTCTCATATGCTAATATTTCCAATTATACATTATCATCATATTTTAAAATATAATTGAGGGGTACTCACGTATTTATGGATGGAATGATGCATGTTGCAAGTAGGTTGTGAGAGTTTGTCTTTGCTTTATTTTTCTTTGATTGTGATGCAATGCATGGGGATCCTATATTCTTCTTTTCCTTCTAATTACCTCCCACCTTAAGGTGATCGGAGGACTCCATTCCCTACTTTCACATCCAGTACATTTGGAACTTATAACATTTAACCAATTTCACACTTCAAGAGTGTCATTCAGGAATGGGCCTACTGCGATCTTAGTAACAGGTGTTCATGTCAGGTTTGACAAGAGTTTACTGGTGACGTGACCCGGTCACAGTGAGCTACTTTGCGCCATTGGGTCATCTCCCCCTTTACCACTCCTAAGGTTCATCATTGAACCTAACACAAGTGTCTCACAACTGTGCCGACTGTAGTCTTAATTTCACCTTCTTCTTAATAAGTATGATGCATGATCTCTTTATAGTTACTCTGTAACATCCCCAATTTCGATTAGCATGGCAGGGATTGTTGGTTATTAATTAGTAACTCTTTGCTTGATTTTTTGTGCTCTAGTTTAGTTCTTGCTACGAATCAAGATGTTTCCCAATAACTAAGCAAGAAATTTTTTATTTGGCTTATAAATTTTTGTAATTGACTGCCCACTCATATTATGTCCCTTGCTTGCATAATTATTTCTCCTAGGATATGTTTATTTATTTTCGTATATGCATACCTATAAAATTGTGAGATGAATTACCTAGAACAACTCTAGGATAGTACGATAAATTTTGGAAGAAAAAAAAAGGATAACCATTGATTTGGATGGATGGGCCCCGCCCTACTGATCACTTGAGTAATATTACTATGAATTGTTATTGCCAAATGTTAGCCTCTGTTTTATTTTAATTGGTTATGTGGCATTGTTATTTTATTTAATGATTTTAAGAGAATTATTCATGTGACCCTTACCCTCCCTAACCTCTTACCCAAATTACCCACTTGACTTTGCTCCAGATATGCATAGGTCTTTCCCATAATATTATACACCCTAGGTTCATTATTCAATGAGGCATTATGACACCATATTCCACGTGTGAGCAAAGGGAATTTGGAGAGGTACCTTGATGACATTCGTATACCCTCCCTCTTAAATAGAGCAACCGAAATTTTGTTTAATGCATATGGGGAAGAGAGAGAATCGGTTTTAATGGCTAGAATCCTGACCATAATGATTGCACTTAATGCAATATTCGAATTCCTAGTTACCCTAAATACATACAGCTGCCACCCATGAACCATTGCATTTTGATTGGCCATTATTTGGAAATTTCTCATTTATGGTGTAACCGAAAATGAAGCCCTAATCCTTTCCTCTCTCTTATTGATACTTGTTTAAAATTAAATTGGATTCGCATGAGTCCCTTCGTGTTCCCTACTCTCACGTGCACCAAATGGACCCTTAGGGTGAAATGCTCCCATTGAATTAGGGTTAAGTGTGGGAGAACTCAACAAACACCTTAATTCTTTGAAATTTTCCCTCCTAATTGGTACAGCCGAAATAAAAGCCTCCATTCTCCGTATTAAATGCATAATTTTGTTTTCATATGTGGGCTGACCCTTCACCTTAATTCAACATTTAAATTGCCCCTCACCTAAATTAATTACCATGAGGAAGTGAAGAGACGCTTGCCCCATTCCCTCCTTAAATAACCCAAACTGTGGCCAGCTTTTAATGGGCAAGCCAATCAACACAAAAACATCTCACCTGGAACATTTAATTCCCTTAAACCGTGCCCAACATTAATGTTATGCTCCCTCCATTTATTGGTTGTAATTATTATTTTGTGGAGACTCTTGCACTTGCACGGTCATGATGGAAGCATCACTCTTTCCTTAGCTCGCCCAAGGACTCGACCTTTCAAGTGCTTGGAATGCAGAAGGATTTGAATTTATTCTTTCCCCATAGGAACTCAAAACTGCCACCTGCCAATCAAGGGATTATGAGTCAACGTGAGAAGTTGTTACTTGGTGCATTTAAAACCCAAAAATCATGTCAATCATTAATTCCTTCCTTAATTTCATTTTATTAATTGCATATTCTTGTTTCTTGTTTTATGGCATTTACTACTCTTTATAGAGGCTTTTCACACGCCCACAATTGGGAGAGGAGGCGCCACCCTTGCCACGAAGTAGGCTAGAAGCCGCAACTCTTCAGCCTCGCAGAAACCAACTCACCATTCATGATCATTCTCCTCTAATGATTTATTGCTGGATAAGTGTGGAGCATTAAATGTTGCTTCTTTTCCCACCCCGAGCATTTAATGCTTTAATGGGACGTTTCACCTGCACCAGAGCACCAGGGAGCGTGACTGTTCCAAGGAGAAGGCAAAAAGTTGTGCCACTTCACTTAACCGAACCCTAAAACCTTCCCTCGTGCCGCGGTTGACCGCCAGCCCTTTTGGAAGATGAAAAGACCTAAACCTTACACTCACTATAAAAGAGTTTCCTTTTTTCTCACGCGCCCTTTTCCCTCTCTTTCATTCCAAAAAAAAATGCTCTTTACTTCATCACTTCTTCTCTCTTTCGACATTTTTTCACATTTACGCTAAACTTTCTACTCTCCTCCTCTCGTGAGCAACACGTTCCACCATTGCCCTCTCAAGGACCTTTCAACACCGCCTGCCCCTCTCTTTCAAACGGTTATGTCGCCACTAAGGACTCAAGCCGTAACCAAATTCTTGCAAGCGCCAAGGCCAAGTCTCACACTTTCTCTCTTTTTTCAAACCGAACAAGGTTAGGGGATTTCTTGATTGTGTGTGAATGAATGTGTATGTTCAAATATGTGCGATTGAGTATGATGTATATTTTTACTCTTACCTTCGTTTCCATTGATTGTTAAAGGTTGCATGCAAACAACTTTCTTTTCATCTCCTAGTTTCTTTGTTTGAATAATACCTAAAAATGGCATGTGGTAACTCGAGTGGGTGTGAATAAATGAAAATATTGTTTGCATGTTGTTGATGATTGAAAACCTTGCATGATTCTTGTTTGTTTGGCCTTCGCTAATGAATAAAGTTGATGACTTTTAACGAATACCTCATTGCATGATAAAATCTCTACATGGATCTTTATTTTCTTCTCGGTTCTCATTGACTGCCCTTCTTCTTTTTCGTTTTGATAAAGAAAATCGCTTACTTTCTTTCTTCCACACCCTTAAAAAATGGAAGACACGTATATGAAAAAAAGAACTCACCCTTTTTTTTCGATTTAATTTTGTTTAACCAAGTAGCCCCTTTTCTTAACCGTAAAGGAATTTTCTCATCACCTAACTATAGTTTTACAAAAAAATTTGTGGTAGAAATGAGTTTGCATGTGTAATTCAGCCTGCGGTTATTTTATGACTCTTTGGCGACATTTGTTCGTGAAGGTACATTTTTGACTTTGATATTTTAATGAAATCATTGTAACTATCTCCATCTTCCCTCTTTTTCTTTTATTCTTGGACCGTGAACGCATGACCGTGCTTCTCCTTGGATGTGCTAGCTTTATGAACGTGAGTTGATTATGTGATTTGTGACTTTTGAGAATTAAATGCGTGCTCCAAGAACGGTGAAATGAGGGTACAATCATGAAACTTTTATGTGCATGATAAGGAGGATGAAGAGTCAAGGTCAGAGTTAAGCACAACTGGGAGATGTGAGTGTTCAGGTTCGAGGGGAGAACCTTGGGGGTAGTGGAGGGGGGTTGCCCCAATGGTGCGGAATAGCTCACCGCGGCCGGGACACGTCATTGTCGAAACCTCTACTAATCTTGACGCGAGTAAGAATTACCGAGGATCGTGGCAGAACTTATTCCTGAGGAACCAAAATGGTAATACCGAGAAATGTCCTTGGAGTATTGTGGTCAATATGTGCTTGTAGGGAATAAGGGTCTCCGATCACCTTGACTGGAGGAATGATAGAAATTGAGGAAGTAGTGGTGTTCTAAGTTACATTGTGTGAATTGCATGATTAATGATTTTCTATGAATCTATTTGTGCTTCTTGGCTGTCTGGTAGGTCTTGAATTGAAACTAGGTGTTTACTGGAATTCCGATTTCGTTAATTTTATCAAGTTATTTTAATTATCTTACTGATTTGATTCCTGAATGATATTTGTTTTCGAGCTCACCCTTTCTATTTTTGTTTTGGTGTTGTGTTTCGTTTTTGCTGCTGTTGTTGTATTGCATGATTGCGTGACAGATGGACCCACTCCGAGCGAGGATTTGGGGAGAGGACTGCGGAGGGAAGGAGGGATGGATCTACGACCCAACAACATGCCGCCTCATGTACCAGGGGATGATCTCCATGACCATGGGACTTCTCGCTAAAGACAGATGGAAGCCAAATTGGAACGACCACATTTTTATTGATATCTCCGTACCCCTACCACCTGAACGGAGTATCATTATCCACTCACCTCCTCCTTCTCCATCGTCTCAAGAACCTCCTGCCAAACGACTTAAAACTTTTGTTGATAAAGGTAGACCATCATTGACCTTGACCCTGAACCTACTCCCTGTCTCAGCCCTGTTCCTGCACCTGCACCTGAGTGGAAAGATGTCGGAGTTGTTGAGTCTTCCATCAGGCCTGTACCTCGTCATTCTCTTAGCTTTCAGGCACCCCCTTCCGAGGAAGTTAGACCTTCCACCTGATGCCCTTCATCACCACCACCTACCATTGGTTGGATCGACAGCGACCCGGATGATTTGCCACCCTCTCCTGCCTTCAGCCCGTGAACAATACTTCTGAT